CGCAAACATGAGACAAAGAAATCTCATTTACGTCTGTTAATTGGTTACAATTACAAAGCAAACAATCAGAAATAGATGTCACGCTAGATTCTTCTCAGACATGGTACAGCAGACGCTCAATTACGAAGGTATAAAGCCAAATCGAATGACAAACGTATCGTAAAACTACGATAGAAGCGCGCGCTGGGGGCCAATTCTCGGCTTTAGAGATGATGTCGAACTCGACAAAAATGTCTAATGACGTCATTTTTTCGTCAAATTTTAAAAGTTGCTATTCTGGAGATGTCGAATGCGACATTTGTCGAAGGCTAACGTTAGAGTTCATGTCGAGTGCTTCTGAGCAGTAGAGATGGCATGTCGATTGTAGAGATACTGAGATACGCCATTTCTGTGAATTTGTTGAGTTTCGAATTGTACAGTGTTTTCTTTTCTTTCGTTTTAAAGTAAAATACGGCTTGGCATCTTATAAGTATGAACATTGGAAATTCAGTATAGACTCTTCAATTTGTGTATTGTGTTTTCTTGAAACGACGACCTTCGCGTAAATAACAGTCTTTAATTTGTGTACCCACGATTGGACTTGAAACTTGAAACATGGACGAGTTTATTAATATTTTTATCTTGGAGATGTTGGAAAGTGGCGAGCGACTGGCCAATACACGGCGGCAACAGCGCACTTATCCCGTCGTCGATATTTACAACTTGAGCGATAGCGAAGTTGTTAAAAACTTTAGCTTAAATAAAAGTTTAACCAGAGTTTTAATAGACCTATTGGCTCCTGTAATTCAGGATACCACAAAAATAGACCTAAAAACGAAGGTAAATAATTCTGCTTCATAATTTTATTGTAATATGAAACAACCGCTTACAGATCCAAATTGTGACACTGACAGACAGTCAACTGCAACTGTCCTGTCAAACTGAATATTTTTGCACTAAACGTTCCGTTTTAACTTAAATAATTAGGTTTAGTGAACGTTTTATGACAAAATCATTCATTCACTCACAACTACCTAAAATGGAACGTGCGATTCTGCATAATGGTAACATTATCTTCACTCGACTCGACATTTTCGTGACATTTGTTTCTATTTTGACTGAGAATACGGAATTCTGTGCAATTCGACATTTTTTGGTAGAGATAGAGATATTTTTGATAGACATAGAGATAGACTTACAATGTCGAACTCGAAATAAATGGCGAAAATCGAGAATTGGCCCCCTGATCGTACTCTCGCGTGCGTGCGCACGTGGTCGACCATACATTCAAACCGGCGCCCACGCATTAGCATACAATCCCATCTCAATTGAAACGCATCAACGGACTGTAAATTGATATCGTTATATGTACTCTTTGATAAGTATGCAAGTCAGACAGATATTTTTCGGAATCGTGACACTGCAACTGAAGATAAAATCTAAATTCATATGAATTTTGTAAAAGGCAGACTACCTAAAAGATAAACTAAACAATAACCAAAAATAAGATAACTACTAAAATTATTCTTACAATATACTTGTTTGCATAACTTTAGCGATTGTTTAGAATTATTAATGCGTTGAACAGTTTATAATCTACGACGTAAAATAACAATTCGATCTGCTACCGATTGACGATGTTCGTTCACGTGTTGGCGCACACGTGAGCTCTGAGCCGTAGAACATGTTGATTCATGGATTTGATGATATAACAGTTTAAAGGACAAGCCGTCTTGTTACAGTCTCCACACGTGCTAAAGTGCCTTGTGCTTAAGTTTTATCAATAGTTAATGTACTGGCCTTTAATGCACTGGCTGAGTGACTGTCACATTAGAACATAAGTGGTAAAAGGTTTTTAGCCCATCATCCAAAGTACCACTCATAAAAACAAATGCAAACTGCGATGAATGTTCTTAAAATGTGTACAATTTATAGTTTTTCGCAGATAAACAGTAAACAGTTTTTCTCAGCTTAGTAAAGTAATGCTCGAAGTTCGTGTGGAATCTTGTGTAGTTTAATCCACTTTCATTGCCAATACTAATAGATTAGTTGAAATGTAGAACTGAAAAGAATCAATTAATCTTGTCTGAAACTTTGCAGACTTTTAATCTGCTGTTTATTACTAGGAGGACATTGACACATCGTTTAATATAAACACAATTTATGAACATCTAAACTCATCGGCAGTACACTATCCTAAACTTATAAAATCCTGTAATTTATATGAATAACAAAAGTTTTTGACACGTAAACACGTTTTTATCAAATTAATTCTGCGTGGGGTGCGATGGAAGCGATTTGGCACGTTTCCAGATAACTGCGATAGCGTAATCGTACTTGAAGCTTGTGCGGCCAGTTTTTTCATAGCAAACTAACAGTCATGCCAAATCCTTTTAAGACTCCCAGACGACACGCGTGTTTTAAGAAAATGACTCATTATTAGTATTCACGCAAAGTCCTATCAATTGCTTACTATTCCTATTTAGTATGAGACTAGGAACATGCTCTGCGGCAATACAGCGCCCGAAATTCTGCGCCAATGTCACGCAATTTTAGGAGACAATATTGATCTTTTGCGTCGGAGTAAAATTTGTACGTTAGCGCGTACGAGGCTCGAAGATCCACGTGCTAATTAGCTTTTGCCACGAATACACACGCAAATATTGTCATTACGGTACAATCTTTTCAATAGACAGGAAATTGTGACCTTGTAACAAAAGTTAATTAATTCTCTTCAACGTCCCGATAAGACCTTAAAGAATACTTGACTCCTCTTTTCACTTTAACATTTTATCTCGTTAAGCTCCTGAAATTCTTGCACGAAGAAACACGCATATTTAAGTAGATAACCTCGAGAGTTTTTCAAGATGTTCCCATCAATTTTACACGATGAAATGTCGGCCTCATTTTTATACAAGTCTACATTATACTTACTCGTTGCTTATCTTGACAAAATCTATAATCCACGGAGCTTGGAATGTATCCCTTCGAACTGGATTCCCAAAAGTGGTGTTGTCTTTACACGATTCATACATTTATATTTTACACAGAACGTAGGCCTTCCATCTTTCTCGCTATATCGTTAGTAATTTATTTAAACTACGACCTCACTCTTACAAAATGGTTTCTATATTCAGACCAAGCCTGTTACGACTCCCAGGTTTCAACTTAATGAATTTAGCGCTTCTGAAGATTCATGACTTAGATATCTCATGAACATCCCTTTTTATGATTATGTACGTTTTGTTCATTACCATTTATCAGTTTCTGAGATATTTTACGTCGCAATATGAAATCCTAAACGAGTAAAATTGTACCACAGTATTTCTGTCAGCGGTAGTTTTAAAGCTGTTTTAGTCAGGCCAATATTTCTTATGTGATTCATGTACCGTGCATTATGCTGTAAGGTCGCGGCATTGAAAACTGGGGGAGGTGATAAATGGCTTACCGGCTCATGGGAGCCCCCTCTCCGGCATTAACTTAGAGAATTGAAAATAACTTCTCATGTGTGGTAATACTTAAACGTTTTAATATTTTACTGTTCCATTTTAATGAGCTAACATAAACAAGGCCTCGAAAGATTGTAAGTAAATATTGGGAAATCTTTTCAAGATTTCTTTTATATAGAATTAAAAGTTCCCAGGATATTTATTTAGGCTCGAAGTACCCAATCACGAATCATCCCGCTCCAATTTCTCGACTAGAGGCCAAAGAGTATTTGCTCATGGATTTTGGACACAAGGCAATTACTACAAGAATACGTTCACAAATTGCATCGATTTTCCATTTTGAACCCAAATTGGATCCTTACTTTCATTTATAACATATTTTGGGATGTCGTTTCAGAAGATGGAGCCATTTTTTCATTACAAATTCAATTTAGTCTTTATATGCTTTGTGATATTTTCGTATCAAAACGTCCCTTCATTGTAAAATCCAGCTATTGAAAGGATCGTGTATAATGACGTTGAAAGCTTTCAAAGGAGGGGCTGGTCAGACGCTTACTAAGCGAAAAAGACCTTTGCGAGCTAATAGGCACACAATCAAGTTTATTGCTATTCAAAACCTTAATTAGCCATCTCTTGTCTAGTTAAAATTAATAAGCAAGGTCACCTTACGTCTGTATCGAATTTTCATCGCCCTTCACCTCGGCTCGTCTTTAAATATACTTCGTCTTTATTCATAAAATACCTAGAAAGAAAGCTATTTTTAGATTAAATAACAGAACGTTTCATTCATCTTTATTCAGTAGAATTCCATAGGATAATGTTTAAACTAAAGATTACTGACAGTAATGGCAGGCTTCATTCAATCGCATCGTGTTTTTCCAGAAACTCGGTTGCATAATGAAATTAATTAACCACTGATGCACGATCGTGTTTGATGTTTGGCGCCGGACGGCTGACTCCGATAACCCTGTCCGTACAGTCTTTCTTATTGAGAAGTCCTTCATAAATACATCGTACACAACACTATCAAAATAATCTCGTTCAAATGAATCTGGATTTGAAACCATGTGTTTCTAAGCACAAAGACCATACAAATTAGGTCCAACCAAATTACTTCTCAGTACTCAAGTTCATGCCCTCTTGAACTAACATTTTGTCAAGTATAAATACGGCACTAGTTTCCAACATAATAGAGAATCCCTAGAGATGTTATTCATCTACTAACTTACCTTGGGAGACAGTGTCGACGCCCTCCCAGTCTCATGAATCATAATTTTCTCATAATCGATCCTTAGAACGACGCGACTCTGCAAAAATATTATCAAATGCTTCTCAAAAGAAGACTGTTTGTTGTCTTTAGAAGTATTGAGTTATTTTCCAAGTTTTACTGGTTATAAATAATAACGTACGTAAGTATATTTAATTCGTCATTGGTGCGTTGTCACAATCGCAATTTTAAAATGATGGTTTGACGACTTCACATAGTTCTAAAGTGGATGATCTTCCAATTAAGTGTCTGCTAATGTTTCATTGTGCTTTTCAAATTCTTAACCTCCTTCTCTATTGTTACAGTTGACGAGAAGATATTCTGCTGCCACGGCGGCTTATCTCCAGACTTGCAGGCGATGGAACAGATCCGGCGGATCATGAGACCGACTGACGTGCCCGACCAGGGTCTGCTCTGTGACCTGTTGTGGTCTGACCCTGACAAGGACACCGCCGGATGGGGAGAAAATGACCGTGGTGTCAGCTTTACATTTGGAACTGAGGTAAGAGAAACTACGTAATCTCTGAACCCATCAACAGCAGTACTTTTCTCTGCTGGACATAGGCCTTCCACACTGCTCTCAATCTTCAATCTTTCGCATCCAAACACTGCCAACCAATTCTGAGCCTCTACCTCGAAAAACATATTCAGCGAAACTAATATGGAGGTGTCATAGGATCAAAGTACTTTTGCCTAGAAATTGTTCTTGCCGACTCCAATAACTGAAGTATGAGTCACACGTTTCCTATTGATGTAAATATAGAATAGAGTCGGTAACACGATTCCTCTGATATTGCAGACACCCATAGGCTTCGGCGACGGTGTCTCCTTTCTTTTTGGCGGCTCGTTAACTTGTTTGTTGTCGTTGTAGTGTGTATAGTTTATTGCTTTTTCTTACTCGATTATAAGGACCAGTCTAATTTTCAGAACATTTTGTTAAAGTTATTAAAACTATGACTACGACCATTAATCTAGCTTTCTTAAGGCAGCCGTTACTCACAGACCTAATTTATAAAACATTAGAACTTAAACATTTAAGGCCGTTTCTGACCTGAACAAAGATAGCGACAATAGAAAGACTGCGGCAAGTTTTATGATCCAATAAAACAGTTTCCGAAATGCTCTTCAAGCTCTACGAAACCAGTTTATCATGATCTCTTATTGTAAAATCTTTCCGTACGTTCAACGAGCAGTTTATACTGGTTATGCATAGCTCGATGTGTCTGTACGTAACTCACAAGCGAATAATTCCGACGGGAAGCTTACTCGGTCTCTCATGTCTCGGCATCCACGTGCCAAATGAAATCCAGTATGTTATATGAGACTTAATATAGTTTGCCAAATCGAGAACAGTTTTAACCAATTCTTCGTGTTTACCAAGGTTTTGGATCATATTTACTTCGACTACGGTGAATAGGGAAGTGGTTATCGTTCATTCGCTATTGCAAACCTCTTGTTGCATGATAAACCGATTCTTTTTGGAATTAAATCGTATCTTTGTACCACATCGAAGTCGGTTAGTCTTTTATGTATGACTAGCGACCCTCCCCAGATTTGCACGGGTGCAATATGCATATATTATACATATAAACCTTCCTCAAGAATCACTCTAAAAAAAAAACCGCATCAAAATCCTTTGCGCAGTTTTAAAGATCTAAGCATACATAGGGACAGACAGACGGCGGATAGCGACTTTGTTTTATACTATGTAGTGAAGAAACGTGACCGATGGATGTACAAGAGTTACATTCATTTATAATGTTTAGTATAAGGATATGGAAGCTAACAACCATGCTCAAAGGAGATAGTCATAACGTAAATATTAACAAATTCACGTCTTCCAAGAAAATTAACACATCATTTCTTCATACACAATTTCAAAGAAAGAAAAATATAAACAAGTGCCCCCAGTATCTTCAATAAATAGAAACGTAACAAACAAGCTGGAAAAGTAATCTCTACAGCACATCAACCTACCCCAAATCTAGGAGAACTTTCCAATCAATTTTCAACTCTATTACAATGCATAATGATAATAATTTAATAATTGTACATAGTCTTGTAAATGTTTGCTATCAACGCGTGTAGTGCTTAGAATGCGTCCGCGTGGATGACCTCTACGCACTATCACAGTCTGCCACTGATTATACTATTTGTGTTTGATATGAAAAACTAGAAGTCTATGTAGAAGGTATGTCTAACCACGTGTCGGTTGAGGCATCATAATGGGAGGAAATAATAAAGGATTATGAATATAAATAATATAATAATTTAAGTAAAGTAAAGAATGTAGTGCTTTGTTCCTACCGTCCATTGCACAAAAATGGTATAAACCATCTCATGTTTGAATATTTCCCTAAACAAACTTAACAGAAATTAAATTATACTTAATTCTATTTAATTCTCATTGCAACCCCCAAATAACAGCATAAGTCCTGTACATTTGGAGCCGCGGAGGATTGATGGGGCTCCGGCTCTATGTGCAGGAGTAAAAACGGGGTGGTTTTTAGTCAGTAAGAGTCTGACACTCCCTCTCGCCTCACCCGGGTGAGAGAAGTTATTGGATGGTTTTCCCCCCTTAAAAAAGTCTTGTACATTTATTAACATTTTATAGACAATCTTACTGGTCAACGTCAAAAATCCATTCTCTTAAACAGAATATTAATATACTTCTATTGTATACTAAAAATATGTTCGTTATAATTTCCAGGTGGTAGGCAAGTTCCTGTCGAAGCACGAGTTTGACCTGATCTGCCGCGCGCATCAGGTCGTGGAGGACGGTTACGAGTTCTTCGCCAAAAGACAACTCGTCACCCTCTTCTCGGCGCCCAACTACTGCGGCGAGTTTGATAACGCCGGTCAGTATAACCTTTAAACCATATTGCAAATCTGTCTAAAAAATAACTATGAAGTTTCTCACTTAGTCTACTAAGGCTGAGACCGCGTTCGGCACTCTGATTGGCCGGCTCCTATGAACCAATCAATCAGAGCGTCGAACGCCTACTCGTTTCGATTACTTTAAACGTAAACCAAACTCGTACCAAGGCCTTAGATTCCTATGGAGAATAATGCATCGTGCGCAGCTGTTTGCATACAATTTTTATATTATTTTCTTTCTAAATTCCAGGAGCCCTCATGTCAGTGGACGAGACACTAATGTGCTCGTTCCAGATCCTAAAACCGGCCGACAAGCGCAAGCTTTACTCCGGCCTTAACATGGGACGACCCAACACGCCGCCGCGCGCGCAGCCCAAGAACAAAAAGAAGTGAGTCCTCACACTTACACAGAACTGTTGCACTAACAATGTACACATGCACCAAGTAGTAAGAATGTTGTGCTCAGCCATAACTCAAAATAAAGCCAATCAGCAGTCGGCAAAATGACGCGACTTAGTCTTGACCAGTGAGAATTATCTCCATTTTTAAAGATGAACATTGAACACTACATACTTACTACTCTATGTAAACAGTAATACAATGGAAATTATAGGGAAAATAAGGGTGTGAGTTTGGTAATAGGGCATGGTAATGGATAGATACAAGCTGCTGTCGCGACGGCTAATTGGCAACGAACATACGAATTGACAGTAATGTACTAATATCCGTAATTGAATTTTGTGCGGGTGACCTTTGATATGTAAATTATTTTATTAGAGCTATCTCTGCCTCAATTCATCGGATTGTTATTAGATCACATGAACAGTGCGTTCGATCGATTGCCAACTAGGACGATATCTTTTTGATCTCGAGGTAGTGAGTCAAATTATACTCGTCCCAACAAAACTAATGATAAGCGCTGCAGATTTCTCCGCGCTTCCGTTATCGATACTCTGTGCATCACGTCACTAGTATTGCCAACTTAACTGGTTAACACTGTGTTGCCAGATTATAAAGAAAATAAATTACCAAATTCAGTCGATCAATTTTATTTAATATCATTGCTATATTGCCAGACTATGCCAAAATTAGTTTAATTGAGAATGAATTGAATTGGTTATAATAATAATGTGAAATTGTATGCGAATAAATAGTTAATAAGACATGTAATGCTAACAGCTGGGGCTTAAAAATGTAAGTGTAATATTTTAAGTGACGTGTAAAATAAAAGCATTCCCCATTTAATACGGTAGTTTGAATTTTCGTAAATGAACCTTAGGTTTTGACACCCTAATATTAGTATAATTGGGACTTGATCTGGCAATACAGTCTCACACACATTCAGACAAAACTACATACATACATGACAGACAACACAACCTTAAGCAAGATATGAGAATTTAAATGTATTTATGGTGGTGGCTTAGTGGAATGTATCTCTTAATCGATTTGATTAAAATTTGGGTTATATTTATTTTTGAAATGGGTAATAATTAGTCAAATTATTTCACATATTTACTTTTAAATGTGTCGTAAACATATATTGCTTTTATATTTGTTTAAATATAATTTGCAATATGACGATGTAAGTGTTTATGTTGGCTATACCATTTCTGTTCTACAGTCGTAGATAAAGTTTTTTTTGTGGTTTAGTATCTCTATACCTCTTTATTCTTTATTTTACAAGATAGTAATGATATTTATTTTGAAATCACAGAGATATAATTTGAAGCAGCCCCACAATAAAGGTACCGAACCGTGTGCCGTTTATGCATCTTGCCATAATTAACAAAAGCATATTTTTTTAACTGGTAACATTCACCAGTGTTGTTGTATTAGTTGCACAAAACTAAATGCCTAACAAATACATTTTTTTTATTACTTATAATGTACGTTTTCCAGTAACTGAGCCATTCATAAAATGAATTCTATACCCATTTTAGCTATACTTTTAAAGCTATTACGGGTTTGTTTTTATGAATAGTTCTATTCGATCTGTTTATTTTTTTAATTAGTAAAATCTGGATGTAAATTATGGAAATGTGTTTTAAATATTATTATGTATTGTTTGTTGATTTTTTAACGTAAAATTGTTAATAGTAAGGTGTCATCATAAATTGTTTCATTATATCAAAGCATGGTTTGATTTACTTTTGGCGGTGCGAAGAATAAATAGTTAGTACTTCGATGATTTAAAAGGAGGTTCATATCTAAAGGTACTGTGAAACATGCTCTAAAATACGTACTATTGAGCATGCTCAAGAATTGAACGCCTATCGATTCGCAATCATGCCTGAAATGAGCATGCAACATTTCGACATACATGCTACTGAGTGACAAGTGCACAATTGAAGCATGCTTTCGTGATTGTAATTAGCATGTGTATTTTAATGTTTGTTATTATCAATTTGTGACAGTGCACTACTGGACTATGTCTCAGTCCAACCTCGCGCCGCCAAAACAATCTTTCTATCCACATCACAACCGTGGTTGTAGGAATCCTATATTGTATAATTATCATTCATTATTACCAATGTTTATTTTATATCAAAGAAATGGATCTGTAATAATAATAATTATGTTATTGAAACATTCCTGTACCAAGTTGTGTGACATCATCTCACGTATTGTTTTGTGTTTGTTCCCGATGGCCAGTTAATCGCCCCACCCAGCGCCCGCGCCGCTCTGCCGTCGACTCGCATGGACACCCACGTACCTACTTGTTACCTACCTTTTTAAAATATTCGAAGACAGACATAGGGAAATTGCAACAATTTGCTAGTATTAAGTTCCATTGCGCGTTTTCTATCGTTCTCCGTTCAATGTTAAGTTTTTAAACGCGCAATGGATTATATATAAATTTGATTAGTGATTTTCTAATTACATTGTTCAATCGCTGATTATGAATGAATATTCGGTTTATCGATAATTCCCTTACCGTCTGTCTTCTGATTTAAATTACAGTTTGTTCGCTGATTTTATTCGAAATTATTTTGTTAACAATATTTCAGCTCTCTTGTACAGGTGTTATAAAAATAACGAAGCGAGTCCTAATTGATTGTTTACTTTGTTTTAAAGTAAGAAGTTTATGTTAACATTAGTAACAGCTAGTTTTATGTATAAGGACTGCAAGGAAAATAATTCCTGTTTGTTATGTCTCCTGTAAACTTGCTTCGTTCTTTTTACTACATAAAATGGCCAACAAGAACTGTTATAACAATCGACTTTATTTGCTCGTTGTCTCGGTTGATTTTTGAGCGACAATGTAACAAAAAGAAGTGAATTATAAGGTTCTTAATTGTTTATCTCGTTGGCCTTCATTATGTAATGTAGTTACTGCACATTGAAACATTGACCAATTGCTGGACGATTGTGTCCCTCAGACGGGTGCGATAGGGAACTCCATTACATCAGTTACTTGTAACGACCGATTAATCTCGGCCTCATTTGTAATAGCCAATAGGATTGTAGTACTCACGACCACAATGCAATTTTATAAGTTTTCAAGAGGTTACAGCGTCTTTGTATGTTTTTATAATAAAATTAGACTGTTCCGTTCTCGGCTTTGGGCTTCCCGTGGGCGATTTACCTGTGGACGGATGCACTTGTATGCCGCGTAATTATGTCTGTGCAAATGCGTGTACGTATGACTGGCTCCCAGAATGCTTGTGTCGTAATCAATATTCAAACAATTAATGTAAGTTAGCCCACGACTGCGACTACAGTTTCGACGACAACAGCGACTTTTGTCGCAACCTCTTTTTTATTTGAGATTATTTCAACATTGAACGTCGCACTGTAACCGCGGCGTCTCGCAGTAAAATTTAACGATGACAGAATAATTAAATGATGGAAATATTGGAAGTATGATAAGTAGTAAGCATAAATATTGTAACGAAGCCGTAGTTTGTTGGTAAATATAATGAACAAATTGCGCCCACTGTTTGTGACATTTGGTTTACGATTCGCGATGCTAGAACTTAGTACGGTCTCTATAAACATTTCCTAAACATATGACAAATACGTACATTCCCACACAAGGACGAATCTTGTTATAAGGAATGATCTAGAATTAAATTGTAATTACTTGTAAGTTTCATATAACTTTTTAAGTAATAAATTCTATGTCAAGTAGCAAGTGTTTATATCCCAGTAAATGTAGAATTAACTGTCTCGCCATGCATTTACAGTGCCCGATTGACGACACGAATCGGCTTTATATAGTTTATTTTTATAACAAGTAAAATCTCCAGTCAAATGTAACGAATAGTAATTAAATTGGTTAGAATTAATTAGCATTTATATAGGAGCCAAGTGGTCAATATGTGGGCGTATTAGTTGTAAAGGTTACACCGTCCCCTCAGGCCGGTCAATAGGACTATATGTCGCGTTGCTTTGTCGCCCTACTCCTTATGCGATCCTAGTTCGCACTATGCTTCGCGCGAATGACGTGGTTGCTTACATAATGTTTAAATTATCAACCTACTAATTTAACCGTTGGTTATTTACTATATTTAAACAAAGATATATAATCTCTCCCTAGAGATTAGTATAGACTCCAATCAAAATATTCCATGAAATTTACATTTCATTTATCTTAAAACATGAAATTATAAAATTGATGTTCGATTTTGAAATCAACGGTTAATTTCGTCAGTGTTGCCAAACTCCACCGATAGTTACCATAATGGGAAAATAAAAGGTCGCATAAGAGTAACGGGAATAAATAAAGATTTTTCTTTTATTTAATTGCTATTGAATGTGTTAGACTGATACCCGCGGCTGACTGCCGATCAAATTGAATCATTGATCTATGTATGAAAAGAATTGTATATTAATTTCTTAAATAAAATACTTCTGAAAATTTATTTTTTTCATTTATTGTGCCTTTTTCCCTAAACGAGTGACAAAACTCAATAATTCTACAGTTATGAAGCAAACATTTCAACATTTTTTCTACTTTTCATTGACATTAACTAGAAGAGTGTAGTAAGAAAATGAGGTCTTGATAATCTGAAACACAAAACACATTAATTACTACATATTTAAAATCACATAAATATCTCCACTGGCAACACTAATGTCACTAATCCAATGTTGCCACACCAAAAAATACGTACAACGACAAAGGTATGCAGGTCCATTGGTAGAAACTTGCCAGCTCTGACAACGACTGGTCTTCTGTTAGCCAGTAGTATGTTGAGGAGTACCTTCCGAGGACGGATGCCCATCGTATGCCACATGCTTTGGTAAGCTGCTGTCGAGACGCGGTCAGCCTGCGAAAAGGAGTAGACCTATGTAGGATGTAGGTATTTCCTATTAGAAATTAGGTAGAAGAAATACCAGAGAGGTGTATCTCCTAACTAGAAAAGCAAGCAACACAAGCTCAACTATAACAATAAAACAAGCTACTTCTATTAGAAAAAGCATATATTATACGGTCGAATTGAGAACCTCCTCCTTTTTTGAAGTCGGTTAAGGCAGTTCTCAAATTAAGAGTCTAGAGTTAGATTCCCGAATTGATATTCAGATTGTAATTTTTTGAGCAGAAGACCGTCTCATTAATCTTCTCAGTAAGGAATTTATAGTTTGATTCCTGGGTCGGTTTTTGCGGTGCACTAATAAAGTCTTGTATAAACATACCTGCAAAATGATTTGGTTTCCATAATAACAGTAAACAAAAATGTCCAAAGCCACGGCCGCTAAATACTCCACTGTTATCATGTCGAATTGCTGTAGAAAAATGTCATGTTTAATTCCAAACGAAATTTTCGCTGTCAAAATATTCCGTAGGATAGGTTAGTAGGTAGGCCCGTTAATCTATACTAATTTGTTTTTTTGTTTGTTTGTTTGACCGCGCTAATCTCCGAAATTACTGGTCAGATTTGAAAAATTCTTTCTGTGTTGGATAGACAATTTATCGAGGAAGGCTAGGCTATAAAATATCACGCTACGATTAATAGGCACCGAGCAGAGCGAGTGAAACCGCGCGGAAGTAGCTAATGTCTAGGGATTCTTGAAGGTTTCTCTTACCAGGGTAGCAGCATACAAAAGAGTGCAGAGATAGAGAGTGACCTGCACGACTCTTAGAGCCAGCAGCGGTGACACGAAGCTCTCGAACATCTCCTTGTACTTGTTCACGACCTGGCACAAAGACGCGCAGTCCCGGAGCGCTTCCATCGTTGCATCATCATACTCTGGACTGTAGATGTCTAAGAGGTAATACAGACGTGAAGGTCATAAAAGATTAAAATTTTCGGCGTCTTCTAAATCATTTGATATTTTGTCTAATTCATTGTTTCGTCTAGAATAGTTAATTGGAATAGCATTACTCACCAAAATTTGTTTTAGCATCAACATAATTGTGTGTCTGTAACAAGCATCGCAAATTATGTAGGTAAAGTCTAGATAAATACTAAATTAACCAAAATCACGGGTCACTCACGCAAGTATACTGAGAAAAGCTTTACTAGTTTCGAACCACAGAGGGGTTTTTCCTAATGAGAAGCGTGCGCGGTCGTGGCGACGTCGCGCAGCTTTCCTCAGTATATTCGCGTGAGTAACCCGTGATTTTACTTAATTTAGTATCTTTAGACTTAATATAATGTACTTAATTAATTATGTAACCGTCTTCACATACCACTCTCTCATCATAATGATACATCGAGTCCTTGATTTCAGAGAAATTGTAGATATAATTATGGTCTTCATCTCTTTGTATATCAGAATGCGATGCAACTAGCGCTGCATGTTTCACGCCTTGTTGCAACAACGCGGTGTAGCGCGCGTTGCGTAGGCTACAACATAGCAAGTCAAGCTGCCCGCAGATCAGGATCGAATTTGACGCGAAGAATACTCCTGTTGAAAGTCATCTTAGAATTAAGATTACCTACATAACATAAAATCACGCCTTTTATCCCCGAAGGGGTAGGCAGAGGTGTACATTACGGTACGTAATGCCACTGTACAATGCAACACCCATTTTTCACTATTTATGTTATGAGTCCCATGTAATAGGGGGTGAGCCTATTGCCATATACCGGGCACAATTCCAGACTCAAAGCTACTACTGAGAATTTTTAAAACCCAGTAATACTTTGCCCGACCCGGGAATCGAACCCGAGACCCCTTGCCCGGCAGTTGCACTTGCAATTGCAACCACTTGGCCAACGAGGCAGTCTAGTCTAGTAGTCGAGGCAATCAGATTACCTACATAATATTCTATATTCCTGGAGAATGAACTACCTACTTTGTAGACAGACTTACCAAACTGGCCCATAGCGAGTCCAACATACATCTGCGCTAAACAAGACAACATGAACACAAACTCGAAGAAAGGAGGTTGAGTTACATCCATATAGATCCAGCTCTGAATTGGTTCTTTAGTCCACACTAGAATTATAAAAGAAAACATGAAGCTGATAATGATAAGCAAGTAGGTGTAGGTACACGAACTTCTATAGCAAATCACATCAGAAAAGAAAGCTATAATAATTTTCTACTTACAATGAACAATAACAGGTAGCGTAGCATACATGGTGACACTGAACATGGTACAAGCTGTATAGATCCTCCCAAATCGACGCGCCGTCATACAGCTCTGCTCCATGGTCATATTCGTCAGCCCCCGAGCTGAACGATACTTGAAGTTTTTGTCCAAATAATTCAGCAACTCGTATAAATTTCGGCGATATATCGCATAGTAAGCAACAATTACTAAGGAAACTAGAAGTGGCAGAGCATCAGCTATCGTCCCCAAACTGGACATTATGTCCTGCCATTCGGTATACAAATGCACGGTTAAAACCATCGGTATATGCGTGAGAACAAATAATACTATTCCGAGATAAATGTCGTTAAAAATCTTCCGTTTTTCGGTGACAGAATTCGGAAAGAGGTCCCAGCAACCTACCAATTTTAAGGGCATTTCTATATAGTGAATATAATGCTCTGGTTTCTCTGAATTTAGAGTGGTCTTATCCACATTCGAGTCCATGTTCATGGCTAATTCTTTATTGAAATTTCTAATGTCTTCTAATTTATTCTACGTCGGTTGCTTCAAGTTATATGCTTTCGCTTGTTCTAAAGGTGGTTTCATATCAAATGGGTTAGATAATTTACTGTGATACAGATACCAGTTCTTTTTATGGATTAAACCGGCAAACGAGCAAACGGATCACCTGATGGTAAGCAAGCGCGCCACCCATGGACATCCGAAACAATAGACGTGTTACAAATGCGTTACCGGCTTTTGGGGTTTAAGAAGTTGTGTATTCGGGGATTGAGGAGATTGGGGATATTTAAGATATGGGTAATCACCGGAGGCTTAATTAAGCCTCCAGTAACCATATTTCAATGACGAAACGCAACGCTAGCGTTGTTTCACGTCGGTTTTCTCAGAGGCCGTGGTATCACTCCGATCGAGCCGGCCCATTCGTGCCGAAGCATGGCTCTCCCATACTTAAAATGTGACTTTGATAAGGACAATGCTTGCTTAGGTTGATTGTCGGAAGTCATCGTGGAAAGCAAACCTCCATCTCATTCCTTAATACAATGGTGCATTCAACAGATTCCTAGGTAAATACATAGCTGGGAACGCAGTTGTGATGCCTCTAGTATAAGTAGTTACTGCAGATTTACTCTGACCATTTAAGCGGCAATGGCAGGTAAATTTTGCTACAAATACTAGTAGGTACAAAAAATATAATTATTCAACCCTTTCGCCCTATGTATACGGGGTCTACAAAACTTTGTAAAGATTAACAAGCACAGTTTGAAACTTTGCTAATTAAATTGTATACAAGTAATTAAGTATAGGAAAGTGGTCCAATTACTTAGAACAGATAATGGAACCGTTTTGAACTAAGTTTGCAAGTTATTAACTTGTAATTATGGAGGTACCTAGTTAACTTAACCCAAGTATTAACCTATGTATTAATAAGGAAATTTTCTAATAATTTGCAACCTTTACGTGGAAATAGTATGCAGGACTAAGAACATTTTCAATTGATTTTAAACTGTCAAACACCAAGCGGTCACCGGTGACCGCGACCTATTGTTCTTTAATTGTGTCTATAAAACCGGTATGTACTCGACGAGTTAAATCGTATTTTTGTAGATAATGAAGACACGAGTGATACAAACAAAAACAACAAGCGCAATTTTCAAACATTTATTAAATAGTTCAATAGATTACAATAACAAATATTTACGAATTAATAATACTCATAACAGTTATAAACAAATTTTGAACATAATAATTATATAAATTAATTGGCATTTTGGAGACTTGCGCTTTATCGTGTGCATTTTCAACTAATTCTACCACCAGATGGCGTTTAAATAGATTACGGGCATGTGGTGCTGTGCAGTTATATTAGTTAGACTATAAGGTCACGTTGCCAGTTGTCCTTTACGCAGATTGCAGTACCATTAATCATCAGCGCGTCTACTTCAAAGACATTCCTTTGGTAGGTAAAAATTATTCACGTGATTCTATATCTCTGAAATTGAAGAGAATTATCATTTAATGTCAAACACGTTTTGTCCTTAATTAACTCTTCCACCAAAATCACAAAAACGGTTCGAAAGAAATTAAGGACTGGGTAAACAAACACCAAATAAGACTTACTTCTCTTTGGACCTCTTTTGAGCGATTCTATAAATCCTGCGCAGTTCCAGTAGAGCTCTCATGATGACCACCAGCTGTTGTTCGAAGTCGTTGGTATCAACGTCGATAGATAAACCTATTAATGCAACATGTACTGTATAGTACCTATAGGTTATTGAAAACTGATTTGCGAGGAAAAAGCTTACAAAGACTATATTGCGACTTTAACCGTGGATTTTTGGGCTAGAATTTACCAAAATTCTTCAAAATTTAGAAACAAAAAACGTCGTGCCATGAGGGAAGCATTAGATATTCATCCAATATAATATACCTACCTTTCTGCTTGCAAATCTTGACGTAAAGACTCCAAATAGCTGATTTAACGTGGCACAGCTCCACGTGACGCCGTGCTGCAGTCTCCTTCAGTCGGTTCAACGCCAACTCCCATTTTATCACCCTGTTCCGGATTTTGTCGTAGCGCCACTGAGGAGTTTGAGGAAAGTTCGATCATTTCGATAATTAAGCTGATGACGTTGAAAAACGGCGGACATAATATCAATTAGAAATTATTGAAGCACCAAAATGTCAGTGGGCTGTTTATGTGTGTGTGGCATGGGTCACCACGTTAACGAATATAAAAAAATGACAGATATCCTTCGTGTCAATGTGTGTATGTTCTGCGCGTACTAACCAGTGCCTTGAGCCAAACGCCACTTTAGCGCTTGTCTACAGAGAGAGTAGAAAACTAAATGTATGAGGATGACACTGACAAGTGTCAAAATTTACGTCAATTCCATATAATTTGGTTTTCTATTCTACATGTAGACAAGCGCTAAATGGCATTTGGCTACAGCTGCAGGTGTCACAGATATTGTTTCTAGAGAGTATCTCCGCCCATTTTTTCAACGTCCTGGTGTATTTAAGATGAGCTTTTGAGCTATTTTAGATAAGTCCAAGAACTAAATTACCCAATATCAATTTAGTATTGTCGATAATGGGTAGTGAGCTATTCTATTAGTAATAAAACACTGTTTAAAAATATCGTCTGATCGTTTTTTAGTACCCTGAGATTAGCAAGCGTGTTGTTAAGTCCCATAATAAAGAGTTTCTTCTCCTCAGTCAGCGACGCTATCTCCTGGCGTGCGTTCTCCAACATCTCCAGATCTCGCTCTTGACGATCCGCTAGTGTTGATTTAGCAGCAGCTGTAAGCAATAACCTTGAACACTTAGGTCAACTGGACATAAGATAGTATGATGTATAGAAATTATACATTTTGGATGATGATGTTGATGATGATGATGTCAATGATCACGACGGAAATTGGTTGTTAAGTCAAAGTTTTTTGAGACTTAGCTTAAAATCTCTGCGCCTGATTGCTTAGTAAAATCTTTAGATATTGAATTATATTATAGGCTAGTGGGTGGTACTGTTCGGTACTTACCCAAAGCTTCATAACGATTGAGCACGTCCAGGGGTTGTTTGAACTCAGGATAATTGTTCACTACCGACATGAGGTAATCCTGGTAGAAAATAAACAAACATATAAATAATTTACTCGACAGAGAACAGATTAAAAAAAGGCCATCTTTATGATCTAACTTCGTAAATAGTGTAGTCTTTGACTTGCTTTTCCATCAGCTTCTTGACTTCTTCCATCTCAATGACTCTCTGTCGCATAGCTTCTGTCTCTTTCGTCTTGCGTTCTAGAACCTCGTTGTCAGCTTGCATCTTACGTTCAGCTCGATCTCGCTTCTCTTGGTTCTCTCGAATGAACTGGGTGCAGGGAGAAAATTGAATATTTATTAGGACATGCCTACATAATGATTCTTTTACTGCTCTTATTTTGACGATGTTACGGTGACGACTAGGCTTTAGGCTAGGTAAGTTCTAATATTCTGATAGGTAATGTAACATGTAAATGGTGTATGTTTTTGTGAAATAGAAGGCAAAAGAGCAAACGTATCATGTAAGGTAACTGATCAGCGCAGCTCATGGGCATTCGTAATAGGTACTACCTCTAATACTAGAAAAGTTGCAAGTGCGTTGCCGACCTATTAATACTTTTTTTATAAATAGGCGCTTGGTAGGTACTATTATAGCAATTTTATCGACCTGGATAAAAAAGTACAGGTACGCTAATTACTTTGTTAAAACTGATAAAAGACTCTTTCAGCAGATTTTCTTTCTTCCTCAAGTCTTCCCACTTAGCGTCCATGACAACTCGATTTCGTTTCTCTTCATCTCTTTTGAGCGCCAACTTGATGTCCGCCTCCATCAGGTCCCGGCGAGCCTGCTCCATCAAAACTTGAGGAGTTGGTCGTGCAATGTCCCATACTGGATATTTTCTGCAAACGTATAAATTACACAATCGCTACAACTTGAATTCTAAACTTATAAATATTATATGTATTTTGATTTGTGCCAGTGTGCGAGAATCAAACCCGTGACTTTTTTTTTTAATGACTGCTCCCGCCTGGGTGAGGCGGAAGGGAGTGTCAGACTCTTACTGACTAAAAACCACACCGTTCCTTCTCCTACACATCGAGCCGGAGCCCCGGTTACCCGATAGGTTCTCCGCGACAACCCGTGACGTTTTGGGCAACAGGCGCTTGGTCAATTTCAGCGACAGCGTAGGTAGTATTTAAAAATTAAGCTTCTAACCACGGAATTCTATATTCCGTGCTTCTAACTGTGTTTAGAGGATCTATGAGTACCTACATAAGATTTGGCTGAAACAGCTGAGTAAATAGAAAAGATGGGTTTTACGCACGTATCTACGTAATAGTTTAAAGCAAAACAATTCGAATAGGGCTACTCACTTGACCATTCTGGTGCTTTCCATCAAAGACTTAAAGTACTCAGAAGTGGATTCCACAGGTGGTCCATGTGGGATAGCAATGGGAGCTAAATCTTTAGTTTTGTAATTCATGATTTTAATCTTATATACTGATTAATATTAAAAAAACTCTTTATAAAATCTGGAATTTTTAGTTTATTGGAGATCACACGTAAATCACGCCAATATTGCTCGTTGCCTAGCAATCCATTTTATTTGGAAAATGGAATTTCATTAGATTCTCCCAAATGTAGGCAACATTTGGTTTATTTACAAATAATATAAACTTATATAAAATGAATACTAGTTATTACTTAGAGACATTAATGGCATGATAATGGGAAAAATAAATAAAAAAAAACTAAGAACTACTACCAAATTAAATGAATATTTTTTCAACATGGCTTGGCAACCCTGAGTCTAAATGTTCCAGTTCCATATTTATGACATCTTAAACATAAAAGACTAGACATCTCTTTCACTCTTGAAATAAAATTTATCTTTTATCTCTTTCTTACCGTACTACGCATTGTCTAAAAACACCATGTCTTCCACAGTATTGGTTAACGTCATAGGTAGGTACCTAGGTTCAGACGTCAGTCCGTCTGTCTGTCAGTCAGTCATTGGTCATTGTCAACTAAACGTGTCTCTATAGCTGAAACTATTGTGTATTTATTGATTTAACATCGATATTAGTTAATCCACTGAACAGTATAGAATATAAGCTTGAGCAGGCTCAACCTATAAATTAATTAAAGTTGTAATCATTTCGTCAAAACAGAAAATGGAGTTAAACTTTTCGTTCCTCACCGGGTTAGGTTGCGGCATCTGCATCGGCATTTCTTTATTGGCTCTGAAAAGATATTTTGGAGCCGCTGCTGAAGCTACAAAGGCTGTGACGAAGGTGAGAAATGTCCTGTTATTTAAACATAATGAAATTCTAAGCATTTATACAGATCATCGTAACCTCTTGTTTGTTAGCAAGACCATGTCCTATTTTATTTCAATAATTTTTTACTTAATTTCGTAATACATGGTCTTATTTGCTTTCATACGTATATGAGGTTTAGGTATGTGTTATTTTATTTCCTGATCAAGTAAAATATTGCATCAGCCCAATGAAAGGGGAAAATGTTTACTTGCATGCTAGACTATCAGTAATTTCACTTTATCAAATAATTTTATTAGCGACATCCCAACTGATTATCTGTTAAATATTTAATGTAAAAGAATATAAAGAACTATTAATTGATCATGGTTTAATGTACTGTATCTTACACAAGCTCATTTTAGCAATTTTACTACTTAAATCAAAGGTTGAGCGGGAGAAAATGCCACATGGCATTAAGTCCACTTTATGGACCATTATTTTTTGTGTGCATTAAAAGGGTTACCTAAGTTGTAAAAAAATAGTTGTTAAGAATAAACAAGACTATATTTTTAGTAAATAATTTTATTAATAATGATAATATCTTTTGTTACAGTTTGCATCAGACTCGGAATACAAACTGGTGTTAGTTGTAAGGACAGACCTCAATATGAGCAAAGGCAAGATTGCAGCTCAATGTAGTCACGCAGCTGTCGGTGCCTTTGCAAAAGCGCAGAAAAAAGACCCAGAAGGATTGAAACTATGGCAATACACTGGCCAAGCAAAAGTAGCTCTTAAGACTGACTCCTTAGATGAGGTGAAACAGATTTGTGACAATGCCAAAAAGATGGGACTGATCACTTCTTTAATTAGAGATGCTGGCAGGACACAGATTGCTCCGAACTCCATCACAGTCCTCGGTGTCGGACCAGCCCCCAAAGATATTATCGACAAAGTGACTGGACATTTGAAATTGTTGTAATTTTAGGATAGTATTATGAAATTGTAAGGTTTTTATACTTTTGCTAGAACATGGTTTTGTAAACCTTTTTAAACTTAGTATTTTATCAATCTGATCATAATAAATTGTACTAGTTATTCTATTAATATATTTGTCTGATATTCAATTGAAACTTAGATGGAACTTGCACTCTGTACTCCGTGTAAAATCAAGCAAAAGAAAAGGTTTGGGTGATGTGCTATTACATTCTGTAGAGATCAAAAGTATATGTTTTCAAATGTTAATGTTCATTAACTTCTTTATATGTCTACAATACTTATTATCTTTTTAAATGTGACAGCCAAGTGAATATTTAATCTTACAGTGAATAAAAAGTAAGGAACTAAAGCATTCTTTTAATTTTTGATTCAACCTTGTGTATCATTAAACTGTCAAACACCAAGCGGTCACCGGTGACCGCGACCTATTGTTCTTTAATTGTGTCTATAAAACCGGTACTCGACGAGTTAATTGGGATAATTAATTAAAATTCCTTTTTTTAAACAAAATCTTTTTTGAAATTCATGGGTTTAGACATTGGTAAGATTTCAGTACAGAAAGTGTGCGTTACCCAGGCCAGATGTCGAAAATGGTCATTTGAATCTTATAGATAATTAGTTTTGCAGCTTCTGTAATTATTGAGCACATTTTTAAATTTATTCCGCTTATAGTTTTTTAATTATTTCACAATAACATTTCTTGCTGGGGTAATGTTACCCCAGCCAGATCTTTTTCTTTCTGGCCTGGGTAACGCACATGTACAGAAGTCGGAAAGGCAAAATGAAAGTCTGTTCCCTCCGTAGTCCCTTACTTCACCAATCTGACAGCCTCCTCATTTCCTCTCAATCAAAGAGTATAATAAGTATAGGGGTACTCTTAATCCCGAGAAGGAACACATTGCAACCTCATAATGACATCTCTAGTATTTAATTCATAATTTCAGAATTGTGTAGTAGGCTATTGGTACACCTCTGCTATACCTAGAGGCACATCGAGCCGTAGTATGTTGCAAGGCGCTCTTGCTTGCGGATATGACAACTCTTCTTCCTAAATTTACATAACTCAACATCACGCCTTTTACCCCCGAAGGGGTAGGCAGAGGTGCAAATTATGCCACTTTACAATGTAACACCCACTTTTCACTATTTATGTTATGAGTCCCATGTAATAGGGGGTGAGCCTATTGCCATAAACCGGGCACAATTCCAGACTCCGTGCTACTTACTGAGATTTTTTTTAAAACCCAGTAATACTCTTCCCGACCCGGGAATCGAAGCCGAGACCCCTTGCCCGGCAGTCGCACTTGGACCATGCGGCCAACGAGGCAGTCGCTTCCTACATTTGTGAGATGTAAATCAACTAATAGACATGACATAATCTATTTTAACAAAGTTTAAAGTAAGTGTAAGCTGAGATACTCAAGAAAATACACACGTAGCTTTTTAAAGTCATTTATTAATCTTTGTATTCAATTCATTATTGTATTAAAGCCGCTAATTTAAAATGTATTAGGTGAAACAACCATAATAAATTTTAAATTACATTCTTGAAAAATTAAACTTAAAAACTACTTATAAAACTTAAAAATAATTTGCGTATCTAAAATTAATTAAAATCTTTCATAATCGTACAACATTATTGTACTTAAGTAACCACAGAGTATCATAGTGGAAATATATATCTAACCAATCTGTGGTTAGGCAAAAAGGAGGTTCATCTGCTATAACAGTATAGCACCTTCATAAAATTGCACAGAATCCAACCACCAGTGCAATATCTCTTTCCATTCCAAAACATTAACATTTTAAGCATTTTTTTTAACAATTACATACGATAAAATAACAGGAAATATTTTTATTACATAATTTTGAAGTCATAGTGTCTATTATATTCCAAAAAGGCACTGGAAGACAAAATATGACTGTATAATGTACTGGGACATCTTATAATCATGATACTGGAATAATACAGAAGCCATTTTAAAAACAGATCAACAAAATCAAAACCTGGGTTTCTACCCAACTATACGACTCCACATAAACATTCATAGAAAAATATAATTATTAATATTATGTATCAATGTAAAATGTATCAACAATACATAAAAATAAGACACATATTGGTATGAAAACCTTACCCACTAGCTGTGACTAACATGATAATCTAAAACAAAAATGAACTTCAAAAATTAAGTAGAAAAATTAACAATAAGCAATTTTTTTTATAATTTTACCGTTTTTTTTAATCATATAACTATATTTTACAAAGTACAGTCCGCGACATAAATAAGTAAGCAATGTTTAAAAAAAATTGAATTTTTTAATTGACAAGTGTAATTGCAGAATTCATTTATGCCGTGGACTTTAAAAAAAAAATTAAAACGTTAAAATTTGTAATTAATTTTGTGTTGATACTGTTAAGTCCACCACCAAATTGAAATAAAATATTATATCAGTCTTTTTTATAGCCAATGAATGTACTATTTTTGTTTTATTACATTTTGTGAAGTGTAATATTTTTCAATTCTTATTTTTGAGTATTTGTATGTCCATAGAATTCACATAAAAGTAATGTTATCTATTGCGAATATGAAATGTATGAAAGAGCTTCGTAAGTAATAAATTGTAAGTATGTATCATATATAGCTCCGGTGATGTTTTCTACCATATTTTGAGGTCAAATCTCAATGCGCAATAATTAATGGTAGATTATTAAAAAGTTTAGCAAATCAGAAGCTTCGTGATCGAATGACGTCACGATTTTTTTCGGTGGGCAGCCAAATGGAGGTATAGTCAACGACAAAAGTATGATAGCATTAAAAGTAGGTATTTAATCTTTCGCTTTTGTCATTAGCCTGTACCTAGTAATTTAAAACTCCTGGTTTGTGCGTAATCTCAATTATATCTGTTAAATTGGAGGGAACTAAGATTACCGAGCAAATACTCAAACTTCACTAAACATAGTGAAAGTTGTTGCATTTTAATAAAACAAAGATGGCGTAGGATTGAGTGTAGTTTGAATATTCGGTCGTAAGTTAAAGCTCGTCGGCTTCGTAATCTCAACGGTATATTGTCTAACACTTATAAATACATATGTATAAAGGGTGGGACCAAAATGTTGTCTATTTTTTGAGGTAACTTCAAAGTGCCAGTATTTACTTTTTCATGCTTAATTATTAAACGTGTACATACAAAAGTAGTCTCTAAACGTCGGAAATAATGTATATAACGGTGTGGATGAGAAAATAATACAGTTACTGTATATTTGCAGTGCAGTGAGTTTTCGGTTAGCGGCGCTCGAGAGGCGTAAATTTAGTCATACTAGCTTACATGTCAGGATTTGAACGGATGTGTTGACCTTGGTAATCTTGGTATATATTGGTCAAAAGATCTTACGCTACTATTTATACGCAACGACAAACTCACAATATTCTTTGGAACTAAGAACCAGTAGCTGTAGCCAAATGCCATTTAGCGCTTGTCTACATGTAGAATAGAAAACTAAATTATATGGAATTGACGTAAAGTTTGACACTTGTCAGTGTCATCCGCATACATTTTGATTTCTATTCTCTGTATACAAGCGCTATAGTGGCGTTTGGCTAAAGGCCCAGAAAAACTGTATCTCATCCACCTCAAATCTAATAATGCGACTGGCACCAATTAATGTACTCTCACTGTACTTAACCCCTCGAGCGTCCTTATGAGCACCCGGTGGATCATAAGAAAAAATGCTCCATGCTGCTTTCTCTTTTATAAAATCTATTATTAATGTTTTGTTTTTATTTTGACTGTATTTGTTTTATTTCTATTGTAATGATGCTTGTTTTCGTGTGCCAATGGCCAAATAAATGCATTTTCTTTCTTTATTTCTTTCTTTCTCCAAATGTCACGTGTGCACCCGTTGGATCATAAGAAACGCGGACGCTCGACGGGTTAAAAAACGTCATGATCACATACAAAATGAAAATTAAATTTCAATAAACTTGGAAATCAGAAATACAAACATAATAATAATAATTATAACGTAGATAACTAAATAAGAACATCTTACTTCTATAAGGTACAAGTTACTGTGACGACGGCGCTGTCGGCCCTGTCGGTGCTGGCGGTGCTTTTGTATTTTCGATCTTCTGTATAGCGGCTTTAAGGTTGGCAATGCGTGGCGCATACTGGGCTGTGACGTCTGGCTCGTTCTTCTTCCTGCATTCGACTGCGAGCTCCATCATTTCCAGCATAGTTTTGAGGCCGCACAACGCTGCTCGGGATCCCACGATTTCCAACTGTAATTAAGAAAATCGTCATCATCAACACAACCTTTGTGACTGTTGACTACTGGTCCAGTAGTACTGTGCAGTACTACTGGACAATGGACCTACTTTACAAAAGAGGCTCCATGCTTGACAAGTGGGATTTTTTAATGGAATGAGCCGGTAAACGAGCCGTCATTAGGACCACCTGATGGTAAGCAATCGGCGCCGTCCACGGATACCCGAAACACCAGAGGCGTTACAAGTGCGTTACCGGTCAGGGATTAGGAATTTGAGGATTTTTGGGCTTCACAATTGGGGAGGGTGGTAATTGGGCCTCCGGTAACTTCGCTCATATGACGAAACACAACTCAAGCGTTGTTTCACGTCGGTTTTCTGTGAGGTAGTGATATCACTCCGGCCGTATCGGCCACATAAGATCACACATTAAAGTTATAAGGTTTTAGTTTAGACATCCTCCTTTACGACAACGATGAAAGATTCTTTGACACTTTATGTATATTTAATTTAGATGTAAACAATTTATTAATTTATTTAAATATCGTTTGTAGTTTTGGGATTTTTTTTTAACGCATTCAGTGCCCATGACGCGTCTGTGCGTTTTGTGACACGACGCTATGTGCCCGGGACTCAAATATGCGTCGACCCTTTTTTTACCTGCTGCCCGTCGACGCGTCCGAGGGTCTATTGTTTCGAAACCCATATTTACACATATGTACTTCCTTATCTGATTTCTTTGATAAAGGTCATTACACACTTTGTACGAATTATAAAAAAACTTATTCTACTACTACCAATGCAATAATCAATAATTTTGTTCAGCCGTTTTGAAATATAAATATACTTAGAACAATTGAAAAAAGAAATATCCACGTAAGACTACGATCACCTTTGGTGGTATTTTTTTTCAATGTTATCTCGATCATCTCTTTTTTTCCAAGAAACCTAAAATTTCACATAACACATACATACGCACAATAGAATCACATTAGTTTGCTGATAACGGCAATACAATGCACGGCGGTGCCTTAGAAGATTTTAAATACCACGAGAGCTAAAGCCAAAATCTACCTAGATACCTAATTGTTTTTCCAAGAAACCTAATATTTCATATGACTCTTATCTACATACGCACAATAGAATCACATTAGTTTGCTGATAACGGCAATACAATGCACGGCGGTGCCTTTTAAGATTTTAAATACCATATCCACCAGGCGCTTAGCCAACTATCGAAATGTTTTAGGATAAACCTATACGAGATAATAAGTACCTTACTAAATATCTATGGTGAAAGACTATAATTTATATATACTGGCATCGCGTCGTGACATACGTTTAAAAATCCAACATCAACCTCCTGTTTTTGAAGTTGGTTAATTAGTATACTAAACCCATCCCCTAAATGTAACAGAAGTTTTTCTGAAAACCGCATCAAAATCAGTTCAACCAATCGCGAGATAATCGCGTACAAACAAACATACAGGTCAAACTGAGAACCTCATTTTTTTTAAGTCGGTTAAAATACAACAATGTTCTAAATATAAACCTACTTACCAACTATAGAATTATTACGTTCATCCTTAGTTTATATTTAGATAAATTTTTCAATTTCACTACATAAAATAAATAATCTTATGGATTATAAATTCCATTACAGTGTGTCATGACCCTAACTTTTATCTACAGATACATAATATTCTATCGTATTTTCGTAAGTATATAACAAACGCACAGACGCGTCACGGGCACTCGCCGAGAGTCGAACGGACGCATATATGAGTTTCGGGCACACGGTGAGAGCCGTAAGAACGCGTATATGAGTTTCCGGCACACGAAAAGGGCAAACATTGAACGCAATAGTGCGTGCGGGGCACTGTAGTATGTCTTATAATTCGGGCACTGGAGAAAATCCACTGGGCAGTGAATGCGTTAATAATGTTATAAAACTCATTGTATACAACTTACCGGCGGCAACTTGTAGACTTTATCGTCAAATTCCATCAAGTTGTTCTCGATTTTGATCTTCTTGGTCTTGGGCGGGTCGATCTGGTTGGACGGGATACGTTTCTTGCCAGTCTTGTAGACACCCTCAGCTGTCTCATCCTTCGACATGTCTCGGCGGGGACAGGCACACACCCTGGCACCTACTTTCTGACGACCGTAGACTTGTCCGCTGGTAAAAAATTGAAAATTAATGTTGTGAATACATTTCCGTTCTACTTTTAATTTTACATTTCTTTTTTGATTTAGACCAAATTCTGGAATGAATCTTAGACATTAAAACTACTGATCAGATCCAAAGGAAACTAAAATTTATACGGAATATGGATCTGAATATTTATCAATATCAATATCCAACTTGACATAGTTGTCACGATATTTTGATATTTAACATAAATATGGGACATCTTCGACCCTGAAAATAAATAATAATAATGATGAAATACATACGTCTTATCTTCCAGGGTGAAAATGATGGCGATAGCTCGCCTATTAATACCGGTGGCGCAGGAGTTCTTGCAAGAGAACTGGTAAGCGTGGGTGCAGGGCTCCGGTCCGTTCCTGTCGAACTGCACCAGTACGGAGTACCAGGAATCTGCCATGTCTACATTCCCGCAGTAGTACACACCCTGGGTGCCGATGTCTCGGGATGAGTGGAGGACATTCTTTGCCATTTCCGCTTGCATACCTAGAGTTTAAGTTTTTGTATAATAATCGCGGATACATAATTATTCCCTTTTTTAACCGACTTCGCAAAAAGGCACCGACTTCTTACCTATCAGTGGGTGGGTAAGCTATAAGTACGTATGACTAATAATAGTTACTTTTTGCTTTTTAGTTTTACCTATTGCTTGTTTTTAGGTTTTGGTTCTTGAAGTCGGTTTTTGTACGCAGTTTTACTTAACCCGTATCATGGCATTATATCAGTCACCAACTAACTCACCATCTGACAAATATAAAAAAAAATTGGTTGCCTGTAAAGTCGGTATACGGGCGAAAGTTTTACGTGACAACGACTTTGGGTAGTAAAATATTATGTCTGTCTCTCTCGCTCTTAGGCGGGCTAACCATGCCCGAGTGGAAGGGACGCCTGCCTCTCACTCGCTCTCATTTTGAGCGCATAACGTGAGCGGAGCGTAACTCAGTTTCTTGAAGTGTCACCCGGCAAACCAATTTATAAGACGTTATCACGTCAAAAAACAATACATTTCTTATATAAATACTATTATATTTAAAGTTTGTACTACTCACCAGCCGTAGAACTCTCATGGTAGTGTTGAACACACCTTTCCACTCGTTTCTCGGCCTGCGCCTCATCCGAGAACACGACGGTGGACCTCACGAACATTTGTGGAGCATTAATGTAGTCCCAGTTGAACTGGATGCTGAAGTTACACTTTCTGTCCACGTAGATACGGTTCAGACGGTGGGAGTACTGGGAACAAAAAATAAACATTCAAGAGCGATCGTTGTTGCATTTCTGATTATACGAATTTACATCCTACTATCGTAGGATAGTAATATTAGTAGTAATATTATAAATACGGAAGATTGTGAGGATGGATATGTGTGTGTTTGTTACTGTTTCACGCATAAACTACTGATCGGATTTAGATGAAACTTCACAATAATGTAGGTCAAACATCAGAATAACATATAGGCTACAATTTGTAATGATTTTATCTTAGTTTGGGCGTAACATAACATAAAATGTTAGTTAAGTCGGAAATTTACATGTACACATCAATATTTAAATACGAACACTTTTGTTACTCTGTAACCTATTTGCAGAAATAAATATAATTTCATTTCATCATTCCATTTTATATTACATGTAGTAAACTTGGTAGGAAGCAGCGCTTACAATCTCCTAATACATAAACCATCCCAAGACCATAGAAATTATATCTATAATTGAAATGTTTACAACAAAATCTTACTATAAGTATAACGTATTCTCATCACGTTTAAAAACGTCATTCATTAGCAGAGGCCCTAAAAGGACACGTGTCTTTAATCGGACAAAACACATAATAAGAGATAACATCGAAGATTTTATAAAAACATTTGGAATCAGACTGAGGTATGAATAAATAAATAAATAAATATAATCTATGATAAAATGTTATCAGGTCTGTATAAAGTATTTCCCCGAGCAGTTAGTTATCCACAGATTATAAAATACAGTGGCCAGTAGTTGAACCCAATCTGTCAAATTCATTTATTTGATCTTCGACTTTATGTCAATGCAATAAAGTTGAAGTATGTAATGCAACATAATTGGTGAAAATATCAGCACGCACTATTGTGTTATTAGTCATCGATTAATGTAACAGCATTACGTCCGCCATATTGCCTTCTAATCCTTTTGACCCCGCATGTAAACTATGTAAAGAAGTGAGGTGAGTAGATGACTCCGTTGCTATACACCGGGATCACTTTCAGAGTCGGAACTAAAATTAACCCGAAAATTGTCAAAAAAAAAACCGACTTGAACCCCCTCTTTTCTGAAAACCTCATCGAAATAGATTGAGGCATTCGCGAGATAGCCGCGCACAAACGTACATACATACTCCTCTTTTTTGAAGTCGGTTACTTACAATTCAAAATTAAAACATCCCAATAATACTTCATCTAATCCTGAACTTAAGACCAAGGTAACTTAATTTTTTCTTTAAACTTTCTATCTAGACAATTATTATAATTTTCACATAATATGTTGTAATGAGTTTAGACATCAAAAATTAAATCTCTGCTCAATCTAGCGACTTTAGGCCTTTAATGAGTTAAAAGACTGATAGGCAATGAGAGAATCTGGCTTGTAATGTACTTATAATCATCCAATAGAAAGAGCTAATATATAGGTACCTAACCTAGATGACATAACCTGAACAAAACCTAACAGATTAGATTGTAGAGATAAGACCACTATTTATAAAACTAAGTACTATTAAACCATTGACTGCATCATCCACGACTAGTTAATAAAAGTAGATGAAGTAGAAGAGGTTTCTTAGTAGAATAATGTTATTTGACTGTACCTGTTTTATATAACTTAAGCTATTATTATCTGTTTTTTTCTGCTTAAGGTGGTAAATCAATATGAATTCTTCTTGCCTAAGTAAGACGGACTGTCACGGACTGTTAAACCCTGACTGACTAGACTGACAAAAATAACGACGAAAATGAAAACAACATTGGACGCTATGACACAGGAATTACATTAGTACCTATTTAATTGTCTGTATCTGCCTACCCCAATGGAAGACTCGCGTGATGATGAGTATAAGGAGTTAAAACTATAGCATGATTAGTATTATAATAAACAGTTACACACCTTCAGTTTTAAATTTCTTTTCTAGAAATGTATAAATCAGCCATCTTTACAACTTACCAAGAAGGTTTTCTTATGTACATCCTTGCTGTTGACTTCCAAAGTGAAGTTGAGGTCCCCGGGGAAAGAGAGGCGAGCTGGTGGACCTCGCGGAGAGAACTGTACAAAAGTAAACTACATATGAACACTGTCGAAATAATACTTTACACACATTTGTCCTGTAAATGGGGATAAGTACTAGTATGGGTGTAACGGAACGATACCGAAAATGCAGAATTTTTTTATAATTTTAATCGATAACATTCTGTATAACGTTGATAGTGTTGCTAAGCTAATGCTGCTAAGCCAATGCAGAGCAACAACCCCTTTTCACATTGTGAAGGTTTAAGCATTAATCACCACGCTTGCTCAATGCAGGTTGGCTATAATCATATGAACATCTAATGATCTTTCTTCAAATGAGGAGATCCGACAGTGGGTAACATCACTTAAATTAACATTGAATAGCTCAAAAAATCTTAAGGAACTTTAGAGAAGTTCTGGTAGTGTCCACATAGTGCCTATTCATTTCTTAAAACTAAGATATCATGCCATAATATAACATAATCCATTATCAGCCTACTTCAGTCCACAGCTGGACACGGGGCCGGATTATCCAATAGTTGTCCTAAAGTTTCTAAATAATATTAAATAACAACAGAAAATATTAGGATGTACTAAAATGACTTACAGGGAATTCAACCATTGGTTTGGATGCAATATCCATGGTGTCTGAACCAGGGGACGGCAGGAAACCAGCCTGATTAACAATATCACTCAAGTTGATATCGTATGTCTCCATATTTTCCATGCTTCTGCAATAAAAAATAATATATGAATAGTGAACATAGTCATGTCAGCAGTCGCTGGGGCATATTGTAGTAAGATTTTTTAAAGGGGAATGCCCACTGACCATAGACACTTCGGCCCTGGGTGCACACATATAAAAGCTTATGGATATGGTAATATGCATTTTAAGAAACAAAATGGAAAAGAAATTGATTTAGAAAAAAGTCCGGATTGTTAAGATATAAAATGATTTATATTTTTACAAATATCAGACGAACGACGGGGCGCCACCCTTATATGGTGGACATTCCACCCATTCGCACGAAGCGCTTCGCGTCAAGCTTCCTCATGCGAACCGCTAAGGAATCGGATTCCTTGCCAGAGGCTGTGACTTCCGTTCTCGTCAAATATGACTTGGGTGTCTTCAAGTCCCAGGAAGTGGACAGGTTGCTCATAGGTGCTCCATCGTCGGCCACATCATCGCTTATCATCAGGCGAGATAGTGGTCAACCTATTAACTCGTCGAGTACCGGTTTTATAGACACAATTAAAGAACAATAGGTCGCGGTCACCGGTGACCGCTTGGTGTTTGACAGATTAAGTATAAAAAAAATTAAGTCAACTCATATAAATAGCATTTCTCAGAAGATATGACAGTGACACACGGAGACATGGATCAGATATTTACCTGTTGTGATGAAATCCAGTGTTGTATAAGATTTCGCACCTCAGCAATTTCCAACAAATGTCTTCGTAATCTCGTCACATTTAAACTACAATTCACACAGCGTAAATGTCCTCTTGAATGAGTTACTGAGGGTTGGGAAGAACTCTGACCGGTGAGTAAGCTGGTGTGGTTCATTATCAGTGGAATCCGCACGGCACGAACTTGTGCTGGGGTTATCATGAGAAGCGGGAGCGGGATCCATGTTCAGGCCGTAGTCAGTAGGGTAAGAAGAATCGTCGGAGTCCATTTCAAAAGCTTAGTTGTTGTTAAGATAACAAATCCGCAACAAAACAAACAAAATATTACGAAGCAAACGAATTTTATTTGATTTGTGACTTTAACACTGACAGCAACCGCCAAAGAGTATAGCAACCGTCTTCGCCAATCGCTGTAGATTCGATGTAGCCAGTTAAGTGAAATAAAATCGATTAATCGATAATTTTTTTTGTTTCGAATGTTAATTCAACAGTTTTTTGTAGTTTTTGATTTCTGTTTTTGATGTATTTTTAAGAACAGATAAGATAAAATGACAGTTAAATTGTGCAGTACCATTAACGATACGATCTAATAAATCCACGGTAAATCAACTAGCAATGCACAAAAATCGATTGGTAAAAAGAGGATCGATTATACTTTAAGCAATAATTGGTCATTGGCAACACTTTTTATTTTATTGACAAAGAAGGGATTTACGGATTTACGTAGTTTTGTTTTATCTTTTCGGTACTTCTTTTATAGGGAAAAATATTGCAATCTTGTTTGGATAAATGAATACCACGATGCATAAACATAAAATTACATGTTTTTTTTAATATAAGCAAATTATTGGGCGTTTCATGGCCAAAACTGGGCATCCCCCTTTAAGTAGCATCAAAACTTCTGTGATCATGTCCAGTGAATGATAAAGGGATAGCTGCCAATTCTATAGGGCCCATAATATGTGCACATTGTGCATCTCTGCCTAACTACGTCTTTTAGGAGGTACAAAATCAAAAATACTTACAGCATCAAATCCTGGTCATGGAAATTTTCATAATCTGGTACCAATTCTTCATATGGCATATCGTGTTGTTCCATGATTATATCTGAAACAAACATAAATACATACATGAAATATCTTTACAAAGTAGACTCAAGTTAAAATAGTGTCTGGTATAAAAAGGAGATGGCAGGACGAACTGGACATCTATGACAAGGATTGGCTGCAAAAAGCTTTACATAGAGAGGAGTGGAAGGTGGGTAGGGAGACCTTGCAGTGAGACGATAAAGGCTTAAAATAAAATAAACTGGTATTGTCAAACCGGAATTCTTTACTACCAGAGGCAACAAACTGTAGGCTGGTACAAATATTTTATTTAAATTTCATCAACAGCTTAAACTCTCTCGATATTAAACTGTCAAACACCAAGCGGTCACCGGTGACTGCAACCTATTGTTCTTTGTGTCTATAATGATGGTACTCAAAGAGTTAAAATGATTAAAGTTATTAATCCTTCAAACAACGTTATATAATTAAATCCTTATGTCCAGTCAATGAACTATTTTAAAGAGTATAAAAATGTTCCAAGCGGTTACACTTATCATTTTGGAAAAAAAAAACATAAAGAAGTTTTATAACGCAGAGTCAAATGCATTCTTATTTTATACATATCTTTCCTCCATTTTGCCAACCAGATATCATTACGTCATCACATTCTGTGAATACTTCTTTATATTTTTGTAGTTATCCAATAAATAACTAATTCAGTATTTTATTTTCAGCCATCAAGGAAACAAAATTCACATTACTTTATTATACCTACACATTAATCTTCTTTGGGTTTTTCTATTAATGAATGAAGTTGTTAGTAGAAATTTTCATTTCATAATTATGTTAAACCTTATATCATCTTACTAATAACTAGGATAAAAAGAAAACATTTCATTGTACATTTGTTTGCATTAAACAGGCTTCGAAATCTCTTTTGGAAGTACTGGATTTTATATATTCTTCCACTGTAAGAGACATTGTAAGAGGGAATGACGTTACTATGCCACTGAACAACAACATAAGGATACCTAGGAGGAAAAATATGTTTGAGAAATGCAAAATTTTTTTTAATTGTACAAGCCTGCCGTTTTCCTACAATTCCGGCAGCCAGGATCAGAGTAGATACAACCATGAAAAAACCGGAACACTGAAGTCCGGCGGCCCCCGCCAGGCACATGAATACCTATCTTGGATCCAGCAATGTAATAAATCAGAAGATATTATAAGAGAAGAAAATATGATAGTTTGCACTTCCCTCGAGAAATTCATGTAGAAGACAGAATGACTTGAGCAAAAAAGCACAAAAAGAGGCTGTACAAATGTGAGAAGCTCAGTCACCAAGCACTATGGAAATTCAACTAAGAAACTAAATAATGTAGTATGTACAAATCTACTATGAAACATTTGACATCATTCATAAAAGCAAGTAATCATTGATATTTGTTTACCTATCTCTGAACTGTGACTATTATTAGTATTGGACATCATAACCAATGTAATACAATCCCTTATCACATGACAATCAGTTAAATAGAATCCTTATGTCTTCACCTGAAGTGCCAATTCTTTAAAACCCAATTTAATCAGATACAAAATCTCATAGTTGTTGCTGGACTAGATAATGAAGTAAGAGATAATGAGGCTCCACATTTTATTGATTATTGCAAAAACGAGGTCTAAGTTCAGCAGTGGATGTCTAGCGGCTAATATGAAGACGAATTAATTGTTAGAACTCTTTGCTTGTGCTTAATCAAATAACTACAATCAAATCATTAATTTCAATTTAGACCAAAAACATACTTTTAAAAAACAAAATTAATTTAGATCTGTCTGTTTAATATATTCTTAGTGAAGCTATTGATTCCTTCCAAACATTACTTTTATATCAGGAAAACATGAAATACCTAACACTGAAAAATAATCAAGTTGATTTTTCCAATCGCTGCCATCTTGTTATTTTACTAAAAAAAATGCATTTGATAGTAATATTCAAGAATACTACCATAATATGAAAGTTATAGTCAATGTAAAGACTACAAGAATATCATAACAAAACACTGCAAAATCGAGGAACAGTAAAACTAATAACTAAAGACAGTAAACCTTGCTATGAACATTGATGATCATAATATGTCGTCTGATAGTGATAACAGACTTGGTGTCAAAGAAGTCTTATCACAACTTTTTTGTCTACAAAAGTTGGTTAGTTTCAAGTAGTTTCCAATTATATTGCATTATTTAATTGTTATAATCAAGGTAAAAACGAGTTTTGAATGTTTTCTTAGGTTGTCAAACTTTGCCAATGAACAGGAAAACTCTGATTGTAAAACATTGTAACCTATACTTATATATTGTTTTAAACTTTTAAATAGTTTTTATGTTCTTAAATTGGTCACGTTTTGTATTTAAACTGAGTTTCAGCAAAGTTGATAATGTTTAACACAAAATGAGTTTCAATCGTAGATGTGGTAGGTTTAGTTTCCATCTAACTCTAGATAGGCCGACTACTTTGCAACAGAAAACTTCGAAAATCGAATTAAAATATAAATTAAAGTATCTAATAATCAAGGCCTAACACTTCGTTACGTCTCTTCAAAATTAGATAACTATATCAAACGTAATACTGTTCCTGTTCATAAAAAGGAAATAACAAACTTTTTACCAAGAAATTATTGTGGTGAAATTTTTGCAAGGGTCAACTTACCTCAATATAAAACAAATCAATAACTAAAAAACTTGAATAAAATATCACTACTAATGTTTTTCTTGGGTTAAATACAATGCAACGCTACATTAAATTGAAAAAAGTTCAAAAACAACTTAAAAAACACAAAATGCGCGAGTGCACTCCATTAAACGGTGTTGGAAATACCAGCGCGGGCTGCCATAATATTTGACAATAATTTCTACTTTGCGATATTAAAATCAAATAATTAAAAATGTTTTGGTATTTTATTTCAGATTAATCATTAGAACGCACTCATAACTTCTAATTGCTGAATAAAATTATAAAAAACATAGCATTTTTCAAATTAAACATATTTCGCGCATAAATTAAAAATAAACAAAACAGAAGGATTGGTGTTATGGCAATATTTTTTAATTTAATTTTTTTTTAATTTAGTGTTACCAGTGCAAAACTTATTTTTGCATTTTTTTGGCTAAACGTTCCAAACCCCATGTTGACACTGTTTAAATTTTAAGCATGACCATGGTATTTAATTTGCATTTACTTTCTGATTTATAGTATCGTTTTATGGAAAAAGTAGAACTGTTTCATTTCTCAGTGTTTAATCGTTTGCAAATTTTATGATACCTCACGAGAAATCAATTTACAGTTTTGGAGATCGCGTCATAATATGAAGACAAAAAAGTCAAGTTGCCACCACAAAAAAATACAAAAGAATGAGAAAAAAAATACTCGAACTCCGCTTCACTTGTGTTTTTTTTCTAATTTTACTGTCATTAGGCCGATAATTTGATGCATATTTTGTATGCAACAGTTATTTTGACTTGTTAAAGTGCTCTATTATGTACCAAATCATCGCGGGGAATGCTCTAAGTGCGTCTATAAACTAAAATCAATAACAATCATTGACCAACAAAGGTACGCTTGTGTTTGCTTTTGCTGGGCATATAACCTGTGTTTTGTGCTGGCGTCCGGTTGGCGTCCGTCACAATTAACGCGAGAATGTTTAATATGCGTTGTGTTGTTGCGATATTAATGTAGAAATGAGTTTTATTGTGAACGCGTATAGTGGTATTGTAAGAGGTTTTTGTTTTTAGTTACCAAGATGAATTATGAAGCCGAAAGAGCCATGAATCAGAAGCGATTGCGAATGGAGGGCGAACCGGGCCATGGAGTGGTCCAGGGAAACGGTTTGCCGCTAAATTATATAGGTGAGTGAACTTTGAGCGCGAAACATATATCTTATTGGTTATATTTCGGAAGTATTGACGTTGTTTTCATTGTTATAGATAATGGTCACCAAATACCGTATCAACCGTATGCTGGTGCATATAACACTCATTATCCACCGCCGGAGGCATTTTCGCCCTACGGACCGCCGCCGCCCGGGGGCTATGCCCCGCAAAACCTGTCGTACGCGCCTCCTGCGCACCAGAACTACCCGCACCACCAGAGTTTCCCGCCACAACAGCCGCCGCAGGCACAGCTACACATGCCACAGTCCCATATGGGTAAGTTTACAATATAATTTTTCATAATATTTTCTAGAAAAAATAAAAATATAACCAAACATTCACCTTGTAGTAGAAAATAGATTTTGGGTCACAGTAAATAGAGCCCATTTTCGTATGGTAATGAACTTTGACAGATTTTAAAGATTGTTGACATTTTTTTTATCAATGGGTTGGTAGTAAAAGTTTTCCTCTTTGTTGTGTGTGTGAGTTAGGACTATGGCAAATATTGAATAACCTGTTTTCTCTCTGTTAATGTCTTACAACTTGAAGCTATACTAAGTAAAGGTCTTTTTTATATTTGTGAATATGTTTGTTTGTGTTGTGAGTTGACTGCAATGTGTTAGTTCAAGGCTATGGAGATGTGGGTGTGCACAAGCCTGCCTGGCCCCCCCAACCACACCTGTTACCTCCACTGGACACCCAGAAGCCCCTGGATGTGAAGCAGCTCAAGTCAGAGATTAAACTAGAACCAACTGATGCTCAGAAACGACCGCACCCTGAGAATGAAATGCTGGTAAGTGCATTTTAAACAAAGATATGAGTTATTTTCTTTCTTAAAAATAATAAAAGTAATTTTGGATTCATAATTTATTAATTTTTTACTGTGTAAATGCTTTTAAATGACTAAAGCAGTTGTGTCTAATATTGTTTTTAATAAAATGTTGATAATTTCTTTTTAATAATAACCAAGTATTTGAATCAGTACTAATAAATTCTGACTTTAGTTTATATACACTTTTTTGCTTATAAAATTAATTTTGTTTCATGTTCTGCTTACTTACTAAACAGATTATTGATTTAAAAACTTTCTTTTACTGATACTTTTTATATCTGAGGCGTTAGTATAAGTTTGTTTTATGTTTAATGGAATTAGAACATGACCATATCTAGTGTTCTGATTGGTTTATTGTACGCCGGCCAATTAGGGCGCCGAACGCATATTCGTTTCGATTAGACTCACGGCCGAGTAGTCGCAAGTGCGGCTGCCGGGCAGGGGGTTCGATTCCTGTGTCGGGCAAAGTAATACTGGGTTTAAAAAAAATTCTCAGTTTGGAGTCTGAAATCGTGACCAATATGTGGCAATAGGCTCCTATTACCTATTGCCACATATTGGGCACAATCTCAGCATCACCTACATTAGCATTACATGGGACTCCTAACAAAAATAGTGAAAAGTGGGTGTTACATTGTACAGTGGCATTAAGTGATATAATGTGCACCTCTGCCTTCCCCTTCGGGGATAAAAGGCGTGATTTTATGTTATGTAAAACAAACTTGCACTAAGCCCTGTGTGTGTGTGTGTGCTTTTCTTCTTTTTCAATATATAAACAATAGAGATGATTGCAAAGTTAAAAAAATATTATTTATATCCTGGTTCATGAACATCATTCTATCACTGTAACACTGTAGGTCAAAGGCTTCTTCTCACAAGAAGAAGGAATGAGTCTCTCAAAATCTCCTTAGAAATTAGATACTGCCAACAATATACATTTTTATTTATAAAAAAGACTAGCTTTTACCCGCGGCTTCGCTCGCGCCACAAGAGGTTAAAGAGTAGCCTATATGAAATATACCAATACATACAGCGCCTTCTATACCAATATTTTTTGTTTTCCCTCGGGAATATCAAATTTTTCCGGGTTAAAAAGTACCCTATTATTTAACCCGGACTTCAAAATTTACGTCTGCAAAAATTTAAAGCAATCGGTTTAGTAGTTACGGCGTGAAAGTGGAACAAACAAACAAACAAACTCACTTTCCCATTTATAATATTAGTAAGGATATGTTTCCCCACACTAGGATTTTCTCCTGTATCGTAGGTGCGTTTACAAACATATTAGGTCACATACACATGACACCCAGACCCGGAACAATAATCTGTGGATCACACAAAGAGTTATTCCGTGCGGGAATCGGACCCGCGATACGTTGCGCGGCATCCCGTTGCCCAGCCACCGCACCAACCGTGCAGTCTTCTCAGTTTTGATTTGTATTCTTAGGGGCCGTTCAAGTATTACGTAAGCACCAAGGGGGGGTGGGGGGGTCTCTGTTTTGCTTATTTTGGATGACATGGGGGGTGGGGGGGTCTAGATGATGATTACGTCATCGTTAGTTATTCAAGTTTTTTCGGGGATTCCCGCAAATAATACATATGCGTAGGCACTCGCTTTGAGAACTGATTAGGGGAATTACCGCGCATTAGGGAAATTACCGTGCGCTATTCACTTGTCTAATAATTCGCTCTCGTGCCGGCCGCAAGCTGCAAGTGCGCATCTATCAGTATTGTTTTGTTTGGATTCTAAACGTATTGTAAGCATTGAAAGTTATCATTTGTGTTTATGTTGATGCAATTAGCCAAAGTTTTACGTTTTAATTATTTAAATTTAAATATCTTATCAGAATGTCATATCATATAGACAAATCCAAGTTATACCAAAAACTGTTCGAAAGTTTTAAAAAATCTCATACTGGGACAAAATCGGATGAAAATGAGCAGACTCGCAACACTGAGCAGCAATCCAATGTCATCGATAACTTAGAATCATGGATTCAGGTTTCATGGACTGAAGACTGTTAATGTGTTCCGAAAATATTCTTTATGTTAGTTATGTTCTTTATTTCTGATTATATTTTTTGTCATTTACTCTATGTGTATCAGTTAAACCTAATATTTCCATGAATTTTCCTATTTTAAAAATAGCAATATAAAAAGCATTTATTACTAAAAATGTTTACGTAAGCATAGGGGGAGGGAGTAAGTGCTTTGCTTATTTTTTATGACAAGGGGGGCGGGGGGGTAAAAAATGGTAAGAAATCTGCTTACGTAATACTTGAACGGCCCCTTATTGAATTTAATACTGCATAATTATATAGGCATGTATTTATTTAACATAAGAAGATCGCAACTTCTTCAGCGTAGAATAGTATCAGGATTGTTTTAAATGTAATTCCGATATTGTTTAGTAAAGATGCAGTTTTCTAAGGTTGAAAGAATTTTTGAAATCGATTCATTTGTTTTTGTATTGAAGTATAACAGCATACATACAAAAAAACATAAGGGTCTTTTCAAATCAAATCAAAGTGTGGGTAAGCCATGCTTCGGCACGAATGGGCCGGCTCGACCGGAGTGATACCACGGCCTCACAGAAAACCGACGTGAAACAACGCTTGCGTTGTGTTTCGTCGTGTGAATGAGGTTACCGGAGTAACAATTACCCTCCCCTTCCCCAATCTCCCCAATCCCCAACGATCCTCAAACTCCTAATCCCCAAACAGCCGGTAACGCACTTGTAACGCCTCTGGTGCTCCAGGTGTCAATGGGCGACGCCGATTGCTTACAATCAGGTGATCCGTCTGCTCGTTTACCGGCTGATGCCATAAAAAATCGAATGTTCATTTGCTAAAATACGGTACAAAAGGTGTTACAATGCAATTGACTGCACGATTGGTGCGGTGGCTGGGCAACCGGGTGCCGTGCAACGTGTCGCGGGTTCGATTCCCGCACGGGACAACACTTTCTGTGATCCACAAATTGTTGTTTCGGGTCTGGGTGTCATTGTGTATGTGAACTTGTATGTTTGTAAACGCACCCACGACACAGGAGAAAATCATAGTGTGGGGCAACGTTTTATTAAAAAAAAAATCAGGGTATCGTGCCATATATGGCGTGCAAAATTATTATTAAAATTACACTATCTAGATTCTGTCGACTTATCTTCTAAATAGTCTTTAATACTATATTAAATCTTGGATACTATACAAGAGTAATCTATAGTACCAAGTATTGGATAGCAAAAGTTTGTATAGATTAGATTACTTTAAATACTTCTTTATACACAATTTGACTATGCAATCTTTTCTATTATTGTTGTTTAGAAGTATATTGTTGTTTTATATATTTTCAATGTGTATGTGCTATAATAACATGTGTTTGTATGTGTTCAATCTACAGGCGAGGCAGAGAGAGTACAATATCAACATACCCAGTACCTTGGTTAATATATATACAATATTTTTATAGTAAATACGTACAATGGAGCCTTTTTTATCTTACTGTTATAAGAGAATAGGGTAGATGACTAATTTTTATTTTAATGCCTGTCTCGTTGTTTATTTAAAAATATTAAACACGTATTTTTTATTTTCTTACGGAAACATATACTTTCGACGATATATTGATTTGAAATATCTCGTGACGTCAGTTCTGTGTACGTTTTATACTCAAAAATGACGTAGCTAGCTCCCATTCCTAATCTTTAATACGTTTTATCTAAGTAATGTTTTCTTATACGACAAAATAAAAAAATACGTGTCTAATATTTTTTCATTATCTAATTGATGGACTAATTAGATTTTTAATTTTCATACCTTGTCATCATCCCTATTTTGGAATTGATTGAGTGGACGCATAATAACTGTAGAGTCGGTCTTGGGTTCGATTCTCGAGTCCAAAAAACAACAGACATAAGTGATTATAGTAATACATATTTATGTAGAATGAAAATAATGATGCAATCTATTAAATGTCATGTAAGATCTAATAAGAAGACCATTTAAGTTGTAGATTCTTCTGATCCTTCTCATTGTTTTTTCCGAATTAGTTTTTGACAATTAGTCTTGACTAGATTTGTATGTCAGTACCTTCATTTTGATAAATGATTCAGAACAATGTTGAACAGAGCAATATATATATAAATAGCCTGAACTAAAACAGGCAATAGAATATCTAAGGTCGAAGTATTTGTAAAAAAATATTATCTTTAAAATAACTGATATAAAGTTCAATATTGTACAAATATACACTTTTCAAAAACACATAATGATATTGAAATAAGGTGTATAATCGAACATCATCTATAAAATCACCAATTGCTTAGTTTGCTACATAAAAAAGGTTCCACTGTACAGAACAATAGAGCTGAGTTTAGTTTGAACAAAATTATTTATTTCTATAACATGTTGTTCCAGGGTGGTGATCTAGACCAGCCTAAAATTAAGATAAAGACGGATATATTCAAGCCTGATGATTTAGCACACAGACAGGATAAACCTATTGGTATGTATTTTTCTTAATTGTGTATAGGGTTGCCACCTTTTTTTTGGTATTTAAAGTACGTTGACGATTATAGGTAAGAGAAAAAAGTACATAGTACAAAAATAAAGTACAATTCATTCTTATTCAGTATTATATTTAAAAATATATTTTTATTGCTTTTTGCAGTTTTTATGAAATTCCTTAGTATCTTTACTAAACAATTGCATTGAAATAACACAATTGTATCTTTACTAGAAATTGTCTAAGTGGCGCTGGCGAGTGACGAAATCGATTCAACATAAATCGATAAATATCGATATCGAATCGATAAGTTTACCGAAAAATACTTACGATGTTAATAGAAATGAAGTTTGCAAAAATAAAGTATTTTCGTGTACTATAATATTCTTACAAAGTATAAAGTACAATTACCTTAAATAACGTACAATACTTTATTATAAAGCACGGGTGGCAACCCTAATTGTGTACCTTGTTGCTTGTTTCCAGCAGCTGTAGCCAAATGCCATTTAGCGCTTGTCTACATGTAGAATAGAAAACCAAATTGTAGGGAATTGACGTAAATTTTGACATTTGTCACTGTCATCCCCATACATTTTGATTTCTACTCTCTCTGTAGACAAGCGCTAAAGCGGCGTTTGGCTAAAGGCCCTGGTATTACTGCAGAGTTAGGTAGTGTTGTTGCACTGTGTTTTCGGATTTCGGAGCTAAATTCCTTAATCAAAAATAAATTATTTCGACTGTTCAATACAATAAAATATGAAAAAATTATCACACCTTCATTAATTGATTTTATGACCAACTTAATTTTGGTATATTTCTAGCAAATTTTTAAGAAAAAAGTATGCTTTTAGCGTCAATCGCTAAAAAAAACGTGACGTCACTACTCAAAGTCGTAAAAAAATTCCGGCTTTTTGGGGGAATTTGAGAATTGTTAAGGATTCAGGGATTTGGGAAGGGTAACTGGGCCTCCGGTAACCGCACTCACACGACGAAACACAACGTAAGCGTTGTTTTACGTCAATTTTCTGTGAGGCCGTGATATAACTCTGATTGAGCCGGCACATTCGTTTTTTTTCTTGGGATAAGCCGATAAACGAGTAGACATATGTAACTAATGGGTAAGCAACTGTCGTCGCCCATGGACACCTGGGACTCCAGGTCAGGGATTAAGAATTTTAGGATTGTTGGGATTAGGGAGGGGTAGGGTCTCCGATTCGTGCCGAAGCATGGCTCTCCTACACTTAAATATCTCTCTAAATTCTTTCTACTCTGAATAGAATTATTAACAACCAGTTTTAATGTTTATTTTAGATGTCGGCCAAAAATCGTTATCTCTGGACGGACCACAGAAGCCTGCTGAGTTGCAAAATAAAGGTGTGTACATACCGTTCGTAATCTTCTGATACATTTATCTTATTACTGTACAAGTAGCGACAATGTTTTATGAAATTAAACTCGTTGAATTCATAATCATACTAGATAACAATATATCTTTACAGATGATGGTCATCCAATCATTGGCGTTGAGAACAAGTCACTTGAGAAACCGCCTGGTGAGTGAACCTTTTCTATTTATCCAAAATCTAGACCTATCTGAAAGAAAGAGAGTAAGAAAGAGAAACAGTTTAATTGCACCGTTACGGAAATTAAATAAAAAGACAAGTAAATAGTTTAAAAAAAAACCGAACAATGTACACGGTGCAAAAAGGCCACTGCTCTGTTAAAATCTCTGTTTGTAAGTGGTGTTAGCTTATTATCGTTTCACACATAACATCACATTAACAACCTATAATGCCCACCGCTGAGCAAAGCCTCTTCTTACACGGAGAAGGTTTGAGCATTAATCACCACGCTAGCTCAATGCGAGTCGGCGATTTCAAACTTATAATTAGAAATTATAAGTCCAGGTTTACTCAAGATGTTTTCCTTCTCTGTTTGTCAGTGGTGTCTGAATAATCTTAGAAAGTACATATAACTCGAAAAAGTCGCATTGGTACTTGCCGTTGGTAGCTTTCAAACCCGCACCCTCATGCATGAGAAGCGGGCGTCTAAAACTTGCGGGCCATCACGACACACTATTACAATATTATCGTTTATTTTATAGAGTCTTGCAAAGCCGAGGGTGCAGCTGAAGGTGGTGCTGGGGACGCGCAACGGGCGGCCGAGCCGACCACTCTCAGTGACAAGAGGTATGCGTTATTGTTATGTAGTCCTTTATAAGTGTTAAGTGTAAAACTGAAAAATAAAAAAGCGTGCGCGGTCGCGGCGAAGTCGGTTGTTCGAAACTAGTAGAGCTTTTCTCAGTATATTCACGTGAGTAACCCGCGATTTTTAGTTAATCAAATAAATTGTTGACTGTTTCAAATTTTTTTTATACTGAAGAAATACACACAAGTTTCGATGATTTGTTGTTTCAGTGAGGAGGATCGGAAACCGTTCAGCAGTCCAGAGCTTCCGAAGTCAGGGTCCATACCTGGCAAGGTGCCAACTCCAGGCAGCGAGGTAAACTAGTTTTAGACTCATTTTATTTGTTTTATACTTCATTCTCACCTGCTTATTCATGTCACCTCATTTTGGTATCCATGGGAGTTCTGTGTTACACTACATTTAGGATTGTACTGTATAGTTAGACATGTAATTATTATGTTTGCATGTTGAATGTGCATGGGATAGAATACAACATCTATTACAATAGCATTTTATTTTAAAGATGTTGTTCAAAAATTCATTTTAGGCTTAAAAAAGCTTTGTATGCCAAGATCACAATGAAAATAGTTGTATCAACTTTTTAGTTAGGACCAAAAAGCTGTTTAAGTGAATTAAATCTAAATATTGATTCCCAATCTACCCACTAAGTGTGGGGATTCTGGCAAACCGTAGGTTTAGTCAACTTCATTATAATCACTTGGGTTTACACACAATCAGTTAGTTCACCCATCGATCGCATAGTCACTGCACCCGTTAAATCTTGAGAATAAATCGTCACTGTGGCAGCCCAAGAAGAGGGGCCGACCGAAGGGCTCCACCAACAAGCCCAAGCCCCCCGGCGCCGCGCGCGCCCCCGCGCCTGTGCCCGCCGCGCCCCGCGCGCCCCCGCCGCGCCCCCTGCTGCAGCCGCCGCGCCCCCGCGCCGCCGGGTACCAGTACGCCATCAGACCGTTCAGGAAGGATTTCTCCGGAATACAGTTTAGAAGGTCAGACATATTTACCGTTATTTTTTAAAACAAATTATGCCATTTTCTATTTAGAGGTTCTTCACAAACAATAAAACAAACACTGAAGTTATCATTACCTTCAATACAAAGTTAACTATCAATTTGGCAGTAGGAACTCAAATTATAATTTGGTACTGTATTCTCAAACAATGTTATAAGAATATTTTTGTTAGATAGTCAAAAGTGTCTGAGATACCGTCCAGGAGTCCTGGACTATTCCTCCTCCATATTTATTCTACTAGACACACACATAAAACCAAAGTATTGAACTTTCCCCCAGGCGATGGAGTGACGACTGCCTAGATTCGTCTCACATTCCCAACGAGGTATACTTCGGCGACGTGCCGGTGTCGATGGAGGTGTTGTTCAACTACTACGACGCCAACGCCGAGCGAGAGAAGTTGGCCACGCAGGCCGCACAGATCGCTGCGCAGAAGGCCGCCGCCGCCAAACTAGCCGCGGCTAAATTGCAGGCTAGAGGTATCATGCCTGCATCTACTGAGGTAAGAAGAAAGAAATATTTATTTAAGCTGTGTTACCAACAAAATATAGTTCGAAAATATACATCTAAATAGCAATATATCACAATATATTCAGTAGTGTTTGAGTATATTGCGAACTGAGATGTTTAACTTTAAAGATAGATGTGACATTAATTTGTCGAGGCAATACTAGACATTATAATCCTTCTAGCTCAGTCTGCCGTGAAAGACGGATCAACAGAGACACACTTTGTAATGTTATATCTGTTTTTAATTATGATTTTTGTGGTACTCTCCAGGTAACGACGGTGGACTCTTCATCGTCAGACGACTCGTCAGGTTCCTCCGGCAGCGACTCGGAAGAAAGTGACGAAGTAAGTGTTTTTTGTCATTTCCCGAACTGTACATCCTCTTTTTTATCACGTGTGTTGTTAGTCCCATGTAACAGAAGGCAAGCATGCCATTGCGAATTTTCCTTAAATCTGTACTTTGGGATATAGATTTGTGATCCAGGATCTCCTGTTCCCTTGCTTAGTAGTAGACTAATGTGGCATTTCGGAGCCGCTGAGAACCTTACGGGTCACCGGTGCTCCGGCTCGAAGGAGAAGGAAGAGGTTGGTTTTTAGTCAATTAGAGTCTGACACTCCCTCCCGCCTCACCCAGGCGGGAGCAGTCATTCGATGACTTTCCCCCCTTAAAAAAAGACTAATGTGGCATTCATTCATTCATTTCATATACGAATTTCAACCACCTCTTTTTAATTACATCATTACTTAAGGAACAAATACATGATGGCACTTAACATTCATAGTCATATGTTACATGTGTTCGCACTGCAGTTTTATTTCATACATAAAATGTTAGTTTTCTTGTATAATTTAGTTTATATTAAAATATTGTATGTAAAATTGTAGTGTGAACAAAATATGATAATCACAACCATAATGTCGGCAAATGTTTGTTAACCATGTACTTGATAAATTTACACTATGTCTAGATATTTAACCATATTATATTTTGCAATAAAGTTGAAACTTCATTCACAGATCAGGTACAAGTTAATTTTTAAACATTTGCTATGCACTCACGAAACACGTCATTCATAAATCATAATTAATCGTACCGAATGAAATGATCGTCCATCACGAACAGGATACGCCACTGAAGCGCGGACCGGGGAGACCGAAGGGATCCAAGAACAGTCCGCGAGCACCTGGGACCCCATCCGCAGGTAGTACGGGGTCCACGCCCAGCACGCCGGGAACTGGACGACGGGGCCGACCTCCTGTCCCACCAGAGCTGCGCCAACCTGGTATCACAGACATGAAGAAGTTCTGCAAAGCTGCTGGAATACGGTTCGACTACAAGAAGCTTGTTGAAGGTGAGGAACTTTATTCTGATAATGGCCATAGTTCTGTATTTACTCTGATATAGATTGATAAGTTTTGACAAATAATCAAACCATTTATGGTTAATCAAGTGGTTTAGACTCCACTCTAATATGAAGACAACGAAAACCGTTGTAATTCAGTGAAAATAGTTTATTTCAAAGTTCGAGCAGAAAAATTACTACACGTTGAATGTTTAGATCGTAAAAAATCGGTACTCTGTTCCGAACTACACCTCTACTTATAACACCAATGTTTATCTTATTCCAGGTTGTACGAAAAACAAAGAGCGCGTTCAGAAGATGCTGGACCTACTGACGGCGGCAGGGCTGGAAGGTAAGCCCACGCTGGAGAAGTGCCAGGCGCTGAAGAAAGCCAAGATTGAAAAGAAGGAACAGGAGAAACAAGCCAAGAAGGAGGCTAAAGTTAAGCACAAAGAAGTTGTTTGTGAGTATATTTATAGTACTTGGATCTTTAGATTTGTCAAATGTATCTATCAAATGAATAAGTTAGTAGTGGTGTACTTTAGAAGAAAGATACTGTAGAGAAAAGATTCATGAAATATTTTGTCAATCTTGAATTATAAATAATGTTTGGAATGAGTAACTTGAGTTATGCTAGTAGCATAAAATACCTGTTCCGAAGAACTCTTCATTTGTAAATAGATCGCAGTACAATACACTCTACACTCTTAAAGTGATCGAAGAAGTAACTCATCATTATCAGTGTATAATAATTCTTATATTTTCTTAAGCTTGTGAGTTCCTGGTATTCAATTCTAGTGTCTTTTCTGATGTTTTCCTTACTTAAATGTGTTTTAATAACAGTATGATGCTGTCTTATCTTACAGCGGAGAAGGAAGGCGGAGTGTCACGGCGTATGACCCGTGGCGCGACAGGCGTGAAGCCACGCCAGCGTATCGTAATCTCTTCAGACGAGGAGGACGACACGCCCGCCGCACGACGTACACTCTCCAAGCTGCGCTCTTCGCTCAATGACGACTCCGACTCGGACTAGGTAACATTATGAAATACTATTTAATTAAATGTGTGCTTGTAGGAAATCGAAACTCAATAAAACTACCTGTCCTTTTGACTGCAAATTGAACCCAACTAATGACAAAGAAATATGTTTTTATACAAAGAAAGAAGATTAAACAATAACAGGTTGTGTAAAAATTTTAAGTTGCGCATTATGCGCAAAGTCTACATAGTTTTTGCGCAAGTCAAATATATAAAGTCTTTTAATCGTTTAGTACCGTATACTATTATAATGCTAGCACATTACAAATACTGCAGAAAACATATGCTTACACGTTTTGTTGTTTGTTCCAGGTAAAAGTAAATTTCCCTGCCTGATAAGAGTACGCAACAGACAGTACAATACAATACTTGTAGCGGGCAGTGAAACAAGTGACCTCTAGAAAGTGCTTCGACGGAGGTCCGGCTTGTACGGTAGCCGTAGTCGGTATGCGTTACTTCCTACTAAACTTAGTGTTTGCGTCGAAATTAGTATGTGGTGTTAGTTGACAATATGGCGGCGCGACGGGACGGTGACTGAAGAAATGGACGAACGATGAACAGTTGAAACGACGGTCGTATATATTATCTACTTAATTACAAAATATTTGTTGGTTTTACTACAATGTTCTACGCCACTGTTTTATGGACACCCTTTAGATAAAGATTCTTATTTAACAGATATACTTCTAACTCCATACAAAAATCTTTCTTAATTCAAAAGTTTTGAATTGAATTTCAATCGAAAGACAATTATAGATTTCTTTATATTCAAGTATTCTGTCTCGTGACATCGCGTCGTCAATATAATCCTGTTTCTAGTTAGCAATTTAACAAGTTTAGTGCAATGAAAGAGTAGCCAATATTAAGTTCCGGTTAATGACAATAGACAGCTCCATAGTATATGGTTACTAGAGGTAGGCTAGCGATAGATTCTACATTACAAATATACACATATTCTAAGATGGATCTTTGATTTTCATTGGATGTGTTACATTGTGTATCCTTCTAAAATGGGCCTAATATGGAGATTAGGGTATAATGTTTGTATGATAAGTACAACGGGACATGTACTAAGTTAGATAATGTTCTAACGAGGTATTTTAAGTTGGCACATGTGCAACTCTTGATTAAGGGCTCCGGTTGGACCCGAAACTTGTCGAGTGTCCTCGTACAACATGCGCTAACAGTATGAATTTCATCTATTGGGGTGTGATGGTTGTGTTTTTCTATCATAGAAAAGTAGATGTGATGTTTTGTCATTTATTTGTGATACACATCGTAGCTATTTTTTTCTATATTTTTCACTTTTTTCTATGTTAAAGGTCTATTCTGTTAATGTTCTTTGTTTATCAATACTTTTTATTCGAAGTTATTAAAGAAACTTCTTAGAATATGGGTGTTAATGGTGAACAAAACGGCTTTTAATACGTAGTAAAAGTTTTTAGAGCCAAACCGATACTTAAATCGTCCCTTTATTCGAGAAAAATACAGTACAATAAAATTATTCAGGTCAAAAACTAAATCAGTGTTGGCTCTATATTTTTTGAAATAAGAGTGGAGTAGACATTATACTATATGTATATAGATAATATTACTTTTTTATTTTTAGTGTCGCTAAGACGGTCCACTGATTTCGTCATTCCATTTATCAGCCAATCACATCTTATACTAACCATTTAGAGTGAGATCGGTGGACAATTTCCTTAACACGTTTCCTATCTTTATTTTAGTATATTGACTTAAATCGCGATAAATCACAACATTTCGATCTCGTATCAAAAAAAAAAAAAAAAACAACTGCGATTGAAAAAGCACTAGTCATAAATCATATCGAAATTATTAAAAAAGACATGTCGGCATAATTGTATTTTTTAAATCTGGCAGCTTTATTTATTTAGAAAAAAAACGTAACTGTCAAAGGAAAGAAGGTTTTAATGAATTGTATTTGATTGGGAAGCAAGGAGGTCCCGTAGTGAAATATGAATGAATATATTTGTAGGACTAAAACCCCTCGCCTACTATAAGTAGTTGTAGTGAAGCTTAAGGCACTCAATATTGTTCATTTGTGCCTATAATAACTATTAAAAAGTCTATAATAATTCTATGTGTGTGTGAATCTTACGTAAAGTAATAGTTTCGTCATTTAATAGCAGAATGCGTTGTATTTTGATTGGAGTCAAATTTTATACTCTAGTTTATATAACAAAGTAATTATAATTATTGATATCAATAAATTGGTAACACCAAGACGTTTATTAAATTTAAATGTTGTATATATTAAAGAAAAATACATAATATTGTGTGTCCTGCGTTATTTTTGTACAGGTTTGTGACAAGGATAGTATGGTGGCTTTGTACATACGCGAGCGAACGAATATAGGAGGTTAAAGAGGTGCGGTCATAGTATGCCGGAGGTCGTTGTCATTGTGTTATTATTTAGTGCGCATTATCTTTCATTCATAGGGAAACAGTGGTGCGAGATGACCAATTTCTTAAGTACAGTTTCATTTGCAAAAGTTTTTATAAAGCGAGCTATTATTTTTAATGTGATTAAGTAAATGTTTATTCCTTTATTGTTGACAGCTAGGAGCTAAACTTAGCCGAAGAACGAATTTATATTTTTTTTTATTTATTATTTTATCGGATTTAAGAATCTCAGAACGCAACGGCGGACGTAGGATGGTATTTGTGTTCATTCAGACGTAGTATATGCAAAATTAATAGATATTCATAATACCATGTATAGTGTATCGGTGTCCTTATATATGTTTATATTATATATAAAATAAAATATAAAATAGATGTATAATTTAGCAGATGGATGTTAGAATCGTTTATATTAAATCGCCTTAATTGGACACCAATAATAATGCAATACTTTTTTATATTTAAAATATTAAGTAATTTTGAGAGAACATTTTTGGGTGCGACCATCGTGGTTTCTTTCTTATAATTTTATAAGCGTGGCGATGTAGCCTAGATGAGACGCTGGCGTTCAATGTTTAAATAGTATTTTTAAAACAATAACGATGCTTATAAAATATGGAAAGTGATGTAAGAATGATAGAGTGCGAATTATCACAATATCATTAAAGATATATGAGTTGTACATATTAGGAAGTAGGTATATAGATATAAGTTTTATTATAACGTTTAAGATATAATAGATATTTGTATTTGTAAGATATATTTAGATGTGTTTCTTTTACCATATTACATATAATTAATGGCCACGTTAATTAGGCTTGTTTTTATTATATTATATTAAAGTAATCGTTGACTTCCGCCTTTATTATCATAATAATAAAGTTTTTGAGAGACTGTCTTATATATTATTGTTAGAAGTCATACTTTACATGTTTAGTTCGTCGCATTTATGTGTATTTGTTGTGTGTTAATGTCGGATCGTATTTTTCGCTGCAACTGTCACGTCGTTCTACAAGATTTGTGATATGAAACTTTCATAATAATTGGATGTTGAATATTGGCAAAGTTCTGTACCTTATCAAAAAGTAGTGGTAATAGGATAGGGTTTTTTACAATACGACTAACATACCAATCGCAAGGTTGACTTGACCATATTATGATAAATCTTCCCATATTTGAAAATGGTGCTTGCTACTTGACAGTTGTAGCGTGAATATAAAGTGCAGCCATACCACTCGCGAGCAAACGAAATGGGTGAACAGCGATTTTCCTCTATTTATAAGCACAAGATGTAACGTAATAACTCAAAACTTGAAGTACTGTAAACGAAATATGAAATGAGGTTAAGCGCTGCTAACCAGGTTAACTCACCCGTTCGCTAGATGGCGTGACATGCGCTTTTAAGGTCCATACACATGGAAGTTGATGCCAAATCGGTTTGAGCTTGGTTTCTTTATAGTGGAAGACGATTGATATTGATGAAATTGAATTCTGAGTTATTAAAATAAGGTTTATTTTGCCTTAACACTACTTGTACAACCAACACGTGGAAGGAGTAGGAATATACTAATCGAAAGGGTTAAGATGTATGTCAGTTCAATATAGTTCCATTATTATAGGATTTTAAGCTCTAACTGTTTTGGCGTTAGGCCGATAATATAGTGTTCACACTGTGTTGTCACATGACAGGGCTTAGTACCAGTTTGTTTACATTTAACAAGATCGAAACGAGACCACGTTCGACGCTCTGGTTGGTTGGTTAATTGGAGCCGGCCAATCAGAGCGTAGTACGCGGTAATGCCTCTGAACTCTTTTCATATTGTTCCTGTAGCGCCTGAAAGACATTTTCTATCTTGTACTCGGTGTGTTGTTAGTCGTTGATTTTTAATTTACTTGGATTTCTTCAGCTCCTTCCTCTTCTATATCTCATCCCGTTATTTGATATCGGCAGTGGCATAACTACAATGTGGAAAGTCGTTAAAATCCCACGGGCCCCCAGCTAGAGAGGATACCTATTCAGAGGTTCATTTCAACTTCTCTCTTTTTTATAGTGAACGGGGGCCCATCCGATAAATTTGCTACGGGCCTCGAACGACATAGTTACGTCACTGGTTTTAGAATATCCTTATTTTCATGTTCAGGCAATCGATTTTCGTCCTCGACAGTCGGTGGAACTTCGTGGAACACTTCCGAAGTTTGGCTCCTAAGTTGCTTAAGCGCCTTCTACCCAACCTCGGGGGGCCGATACGGAGCCGCGGAGAACTTAACGGGTTACCGTGGCTCCGACTCGAAGAGCAGGAGTAGGTACGGGGTGGTTTTTAGTCAGTAAGAGTCTGATACTCCCTTCCACCTCACCCAGGCGTGAGATTCGATGATTTTCCCCCCTAAAAAAAGGCAATCGATTTCACTTGGATAAAACTATCTCTTTCTTGTTTAGGCTTTTGAAATCTCTGTTTAGAAATCAGATTATAGCCTCTTCCCATTAATTCTATCATCTTGCCCGATTTATTATCTGTTGTGACAACACAGTGGACACGTGCCTTATAATCCCGGCCTACTTAGCGCGGC